GATTGCCTATTGGCCAAGTTGTTCGATCAAGTAAAAGCTTTTCATGCCTGCCACAATGATAAGGAATTAATCCTCATAGTCTTAGACTTGGCTTTTTCTTTTAGAAGAACACTGACAACAACATATTTCCAAAGGCTAGTTGCAGAGAATTCTCTCAACTTTTAGAATATTACATGTAAAGTTCTTTGTCCAGTTGAAAATTCTAAATACTTGTCTTTTAGAAAAACAAAGAGAATAAAAAACTGGGGGCAATTCTTTTGAGCATAAATCAAACACAACCCAAAACAATTATAAAAAAGAAAAAGAAAAACAATCACTATATCAATCAACAAAAACGATTAAAAAGGAAGATCAAAAGAGAAACCAAATAATAACTATAACCAACAATTGAAATATTCATCAATTTTAATCTCTTTCTTTTAATTTAAAAACCTGCCTAAGCAATGAAAAGTCACCTTAAACAATCAAAATCACAAAATAACTATATTTACATAGTCGTTGTCATCAAAGATTTGAAAATTCTTTGCTAAACTCAAAGAATTACAGTTCTCTGCTAAACCCTAAAAATTTCAAATACCAACATATCATGCTTACCAAAACAATAGAACTATCCTAAACCCTGTAACAAAAGAACCAGCATATCCAAATACCGATTTTCAGGGTTTACCAACTAATTTTTAATAACCAAATAGAAAATCTTATCAAAAGCAATCATATAGTATTTTAATAACTAAATTGTTTAACCTGATTTAATCAAAATAATAACACAATCAAATCAATTTCAGCATTTGGATAAAATTTGCAAATCAATAACACAGACCCACGATGAGGAAAAATTAGGGATTTGGACTTTTAGGGCAGCAAATTAAAACAGGTCTTATAGTCTAATCAAATAAGATCCAAGATATTAGTAACAACAAAAATGAAAAAGAAGAGCAACAAAAATCGAATGGAAAGATAAAGCAAAATTTACTTACAGATCAGTGAGAAAAAGAGACTGAAACGGAGAGAAAGCTGGAGTTGGATCTGAAGAAGAAGACCAACGCAGTGGCGGAGAGTCGGTGCTTGTGATGATGACGGCGGCGGCGGCAGAGAGAAAGGGAAAGAGACGGGGAGAGAGTTGGAGAAGACGACTATGATCTCTGAGGCCTCTCTCTCTCTCACTTCTCTTCGATGAAGTGGCTTTGGTTTCTCCAGCGACCAGACAAAAGGGTTATGTCGCTATGCATTAGGGCAAAAATGCCATTTTACTGAACATAATTAAGAGGGCAACCAATTAAGTAGGGGCACAAACGTCATTCCACTATTGCGAATGAATAGTCTAGGAACAGTGATTTTATTCAGTTTTAGTATATATATAATTTACTAGCTATAAACCATGAATAACAACCCAATCCAAACAGAACAAGAAAAAAATGAAAATACCACACAAATAACTTATCTGCTCGCTATTGTATTTTGGAGGAGACCCTTAAAGTCTCTGCAACATGTATATTTCTCAAAAATAAAAATACCACACAAATAACTTATCTGCTCGCTATTGCATTTTGGAGGAAACCCTTAAAGTCTCTGCAACATGTATATTTCTCAAATTACCCATCGTCAATGATTTATTGGATCCAAGATTTCCACATTTAAAAGAGTATATCGTATGATGCATGTAAGTCATTGTCCAAAGAAGAAGCTACTGGATGAATAAGAGCAGACTTTGACCACAACGGTCAAAATTGATAGCTTTTGTGTTCTTAATTAAACTGTCACTTTATATATAGAAATTGGACTAGACTACAGTTTAGTCAAGAATATGCAGTTGAACTCCCTGTACCTGATTGGACTTGCAAGTTGCAACCTTGCGAAAATGGTTTAAGGACCTGGAATCTTGATATCTATCCTCTATCCCTTTCTACCGAAGAAACGGTGACAAGTGACAAGCTCATATTTATATATATTTTACATCAAATTCACTTGTCTTTTCTTAGTTAGTTCCTTATATTTTTGAGCTATTTACTTTGTTTTTGTGTTTTGTAGGATCTGTCAAGCAAAGAAAAGAACAATAGCACAAGTGGGATTTTAAGTCACAAATTCGTCAAAACTACCTGTGCAGATGAGCTGACTTTGGAAGCAAGTGCGAACAGCTCAGAATAAATTAGAAAACGAGCCATATATGCTTGGAAAGCTACAGATGTCTATTCTCGGGAGCATTTCGTGGATTGTTCATATCATTTTTCTAGAAGCAGTATGGCCGTTTTAACACTGAAAGGTTCACAAGAGGCTGAGTAGTTTGTAACTGCAATGAAAGCAATAAACCCAATAAATCTAACAGCCAAAACGGATGCCGCCAAGAAAAAGCCAGCGGAAACCTATTCAAATATCTGAGGAAATGGAATTAAAGATGAGGATTAGGTGGGAGTAATTGGCATAAAGGTCACCCAAAGAGTTACAATTGTTTTACCATTTTCTCTCACTTATTGTCATCAATAAATAGCTATTAGTGGGGGAAGTTTGTGGAGAGCGATCTTTGAGAAAGAAACATAGGCAAGGCAGGAACGTTGGGGATATAGGAGGAAGGAGGAAATCTTGGCATTCTCATCTTTCGGTTTTACCTTCCCAAACTCATGTCTTTCTTTTGGTTTAATTCAAGAATAATGTATAACTAAATTTTTAGTAGTTAGGGGCTGTTTTTGAAGCCCCAGATATGATTGCAAATGTGTTATGACGTTTCGTTTCAATTTCTTTCATGAAAGGATGAAAATTGCTTCACTACTTGTCTCGTTGATGAATTCTTTATGTGTTTTCTACGGATGCATACTTAGTAAGCATATTTAGGATTCTAATGCTATGAATATGTGTATGCCTGCCCTTGCTTAATGAGGACCTACATATGTTCTATAGTAGTACTTGTTAGTTGCGATTAACATGTGAATCAATTTCTAGGATAAGTAAGACAACGCCACTTACGATGCCTTGTGATGACTCAAACTCTTTTCATTCTTAATGATTTCTACCTGTTAAATCTATGAACACGTCATTCTAGATTGCATGCTAGGGACTAAGTTAAGTTGAAAACGTCATTCTCTTAACATACTACATAAGAAAGAGTAATAGGTTGAGTAACATTGAGCCAACTTGAGCATTTTCATCTCGAAATAAAAGGAATCTGATTGAAACATAACATGTTTGCATGATTATTTGGTGGTGGATAGCACTTCCCCTAACTCATTTTCTTGATTGTGAAATATAATCTGTTCTTATAATTCAAAATCCGTTTATGTCCTGTTGTTGTCCGATTTAATTTATATAGCAAATCAACTCTAAAAATTCCAAAAATTTGTGTGAGTGTAGCTCTACGTGTCTAGTATCTGTGCATAAAATTTCGTAGACTTTAGATAAGTGTAAGTAGGGATAATAATTATTTTTTCTGTGTCTGGTCAGTAGGGACAGCAGGCCAGTTTTCGTGACATTTCAAGTAGTTAGATAAGACAATATCTTCTGCAGGAAAGACCCTTATTTTCATATGCTACAATTGACAAATCTTAATGTTAATAAGGAAAATCAATAGGATATTTGTTTGCTACTTTGTGGTGTGCTTTTAATCCTATCAACAAGGGAATAAAAGCCATACAAGGACCCAATTTCTTCAGCGTACGTACGAAAAGTGCATTTAAAATTAGATGCATAAACGTATTCTAATGAGTTGCTCGTAAATATAGGTCGACCTCCTACCCCCAATGTATATTCGTATATTCTTTCACAAATGTATAAGCGTATATTAATGATGCATTTATTGAAAAATGCTTTAATATTTGGATACAAGTCTAGCGATTGTTTGCTAAGGGTTTATAACTCAAGTAGTCAAGAGCATTTACCTTTGCACCGAGGTCCTAGGTTAGATTACCCAATATCGCTTGTATCAAAAATAAAAAACTGGAATAGCCAAACTAACTAGCCCTACATTTAGAAATATTTCTCTTCTTAATATTGAAATATATCATAATTTCGAGCTCCCTTTTCCCTTTTACATTAAAGTTATTTATTAATTGTTTTGGAATATAGCAATTAACACAGTTTTTACAACATATATTCATTCCTTTAACACTTATCACCTGGTATACCTAGTGCATGCAAGTTGTTGTGCCGGGTAGGATCAAAAAATTTCCGCTGGCAACAACGGAGATAAACTCTAAGGTAGAAAACTCGTCTCGTCTCTTGCCTATGTTGTATGAAAAATAAAAATAAAAATTACATGTACCATTGAGTTTTTTATTTTTTTATTTTTATTTTTTAATGGATTGTGTCATCACAAATATGAATTCGAAGATGATAAAAAAAACGATTTTTGTGGAAAAATTTATTTTCATTGTCAGTGATTGATCTTGATGAGGACAATTATGAGAAAGATACCTTGAAACATATATGGGTTGTCTCTGCTTCTCTGTTACTATTCTCAAGTGTTTGAGTAATATCACTTCTCTAATCTGTGTTGATTCCAGTTCAATAAACTCATTTCATCATAATATATTTGTTGTTGCATTACCACGGTACTAGCTATAGACTTTATCGTAGGCTTTTGAAGTGTTTGTCGCAATTACTTGTATTACAAGTCATGGAGGCATGCTTATTTTCAATTCTTTTTCCTTGATGGCATGAAAGATAAGTTAGTATTGGCGATTATTAAATTGAAGTTGGCTCGTTTGCCAATGAAATCTTGGTTAGAAAATACAAAAAAAAAACTGTTGTCCGCATTAGAATAGTTGACTAGTAATAAAATAAAGGCTTAATTATGTACATGCCCCCTGTGCTTTCCAACTTATCTCAGATTACCACATGTGGTGGAAAACGTCTCAAAGTACCCCCCAACGTGCAAAAAACTGTCTCACGTTACCCTTTCCGTCAGTTTTTTTGAAGTTCCGTTACGAATGTTACTGTTCATCTCCCCCAAAATTCCAGAACAGTAGCCCCTCCCCTTTGTTACTGTTCATCGCTTATTTACCCTCCAAAACTCAGAAATTTCTCCTAACCAACACAACTAGCAGCAAGAACAACTCGAGAGGTTGAAAAATCATACCTGGATCGAAGAAAATGGTGCTCGGAATCGCCCAAACGAGCAATGGAGATTTTGGGTAAAAACCGGCCAATTTCTTGCTTTTTTCGGTGATCCAGACGACGGTTGGCAGCGGCTGAGATGTGAGGGTGGTAGAGGACAACGTGCTGGTTTTTTTGATATCCATGTCGTCGCTTGGGGTGGCCGGAGGAGGCGATGGCAGCCCAAAAACTGGTGCGATGAACAATAACAAATGGGAGGAGCTGCTGTTCTGGAATTTTGGGGGAGATAAACAGTAACGTTCGTAACGGAACTTCAAAAAAACTGACGGAAAGGGTAACGTGAGACAATTTTTTGCACGTTGGGGGGTACTTTGAGACGTTTTCCACCACAGGTGGTAATCTGAGATAAGTTGGAAAGCACAGGGGGCATGTACATAATTAAGCCTAAAATAAAAGGTATTCCAAGTTCATATATGTATTTATCTATCTGTCACTCGTTCCATACAGCTTAAAACTTTACCATATTGGTCAGCATGATGAATTTTACATCAAATTTTTTGATATATTTATTCCCATTTTTAAATTTGTGTAGAATTTGACTATTCGGTTATAGTAATTTTAATTTTTAATTTTTGTCATTTCCTATCTACGTGACAATTTAATATATTGGCTCGAGATGCTCTAAGCATCTCCAAAGAAGATGTCAAATCCTATGCAGCACTTTTAACGAATAAAAATAACAACTGAAATTTACTCCAACCAAACTGCTATAGTCTTCATGAAATGGCGTATGAAGCCTGTGCTGTCAAAATTGTCATCAACTGCGGGAGACATCTTTTGATTATTTTATTATTTCTTTGCCCATCTAGTTGTGGCTTTATCCTTTCATTTAATACTTATTCAAAGTATTAAACCATAAAATAAAAAAAATTAATCTGTTCGCTAATAGACTCTGGAGACCCTTCAAATTCAAAGTCTCACGGCATCACCCATCAAAGCCTTGCTGCATGCCAAAAAGGAATACAGAATCCACACCAAATGTAAACGCGTGAAACGTGAAGATGGAAAATGCATTTCACTCCATCTGGTTGACGAAAAAAAATCTTTACACACGCCTAGCCTTCTATAAATAATGTATGAATTCACTTATTGTGTGCTCATCAAACTTGAGAAAACTTGATTCCTATGATGGATATCTATTGCCTCAATATTTCTCACTATTTCCTTCTTTTGTTTTGCTTATTTGGTGATATCGGACTTGCAAGCACTAATGTGAAGTCAATATGCATTGAGGAAGGAAGGCAAGCACTTGTGAGATTTAACCAAGATATGAAGGATCCGTTTGGTAGGCTTTCTTCTTGGGTAGTGTTATTATTTGAAAGGATTTTAAATTTTAAAACGTTTTATTTTCTGTTTTAATTTTTGGCTGTTTCTTTTATTTATTATAGGAGTTACAAATTGTTTAATTTTCAGTTTTTATTTTCTATTCATTGCCACCAACTTTTCTGGTTAAATGTGTCTGGTGGTTATGAGTTTTGGATGCCTATAAAAGGCCTCTCCTCCTTCACATTTCAATACACTACAATCAGATTTCTCTATTCTAATACTTTCATATATTCCATACTTTCTATATTATTTTTGGGCAACGGTTCTGTGGCTTGGAGATTTCTATCCGACTGTGAACGTGCTCATAGCGGACCTTAAGCCTGTGTATTGGGGTCGTATCTTGGAGTCTTGTAGACTGTCATTACCTGCACGTAGGGAGGCTAAAAAGGCTTTAGGACAGCGTCTTTGACGTGCTTTCACTATACCAGGCTTGCTTTCTTAATCTTGTCTTTTATTTAATTGTTTATTTGTCTCTTTATTTTACTTTACTGTTTAATCTTTATTTTATATATTATTTATATCTAAAAATTTTGTACAGGAATTTTATAGGAAAGGAAAATATATTTTCTTTTAATTACAAAAGTTTTTACAAAAGAAGAAAAAACCACACTTTTTAATAACAATCTAAAGCCTTTGTATGTTAAAATTATTCTTACTGTATTTGTTGTTGCTATAAATTTCTCCAAATAGTAAATACTCTCTGTCTTCATTAGCTGCGTTTTCCTATTATTGCTTGTCTATAAGTTTTTCAAAACTACAGCTTTAAAGTCCAAAGTTAAGGTTTTTTCATTTATAAAAAAAAAAAAACAACAACAATAAATTTTCAACAGTCAAGGCTTTAAAGTTTACAACTTTAAAGAAAACCTTTTTACCAATTTTAAACTCTAACTAACTCTATTTGGTCTTTGTTTTTTTTTTTTTTTTTTTTTTTTTCTTAAGTTATTATTAAAAACCTTAAGTACCACTGTTGGAAAGTTTTAGTTACTCGTTTCAGTTTTGCTTGTATTTTAATTGCTCACACGTTTTGTTTACCAACTTTAAACAAATTTTAAAATCTTAATAAAATTAGTTTTAAAAGTCAATTAAGTACATCAGATTCTGTAACCGTTAGATATTTTGTCATAAACTTGGCATGTTTGTTTCTTTAAGTTTGTCTACCAATTGTTTGATTATTATTCAATCTTAATTTCTATTACATTTAAATTTCAGATGTTATTGCTTCATTATTGTTCATTGGAATTGAGATGGGAAATGATACCTATTAGTCTTATAGGTGCAATCCATGATAAGTACATGTGGAAATGCACGCAAAATATCAATATTAATGGGGTGTGTCCAAAATAGGTTAGTTACAATATCACCAGATGTCCTATGCCACTCAATATAATTGTGTTCAGATAACTTAGTAAGCAATTGTTGCATTTGGGTTCTCCCAGCAAATTCTTTGGTTCTATTTCGGATCCTAGCATTGTATATTGTCTTCATAGTTGAAACATTCATTGCATCTCTATCTTTAATGGTGACCAAAATATCTCTGGGTTTCACCAAACTCTTAGACATGTCCACCAACAAGGCATTCTCCTCTTTAGTAAGTCGCCCCACAAATGAATGACCTTGAAGATACTCTGAAATAGGATGGTTGTGTACTCCACAAACCACCTCCAACTTCCAATCATCCCCATCACCAATATTGACACCTTTTAACAAGAATGGGCATCCACATTTCTTGGTACCAGTGTCCCTAGCACATTTTTTCATATCACTATTTGCATCCGACCTTATATCAGTTGTCTCACTAGACTTGCAAGACTTATAGTTACCGTTCCTCTCACAAGCAAGTATTACACGAGGTCTCCTCTTGCCCTCACCTCTATAATCAGACCTTTTAATTACAATGACAATATTATTCAATTTTCCTTGTTCACGAGCCCATCGAAGTAATGCATCTCTCCATTGAATATCTACACATAAAACTCATATTATTTAAATATCAAATTTGAAACATTAATGCCACGTGAATGATACTAAAAAAGATTTCAGACAAATAATTACCCGAATAAGTTGTGAATTGATCACTATAGTCTATTATACATTCTGTTCCCACATTGTTGCCTTCAGTAGGGGCATCACCTTGTTTTTGTTCCTTCAATGGGAGTAAGATCAAAATAGCTTGGATTAAATTTGTGGTCAGCAATAAGTTACTGAAAAAATAAATAAATTTTGGTTGGATGCCATTGAAACGCAGGTAAAATTTCGGTAGTAAACCACTAAACTACGTTCCATCTTACAGTGGTGTTTTGCCTACTTTTCTCTAGTTTTAATCTTTGTATGGAGATGCATTCTGAGGTGGAAAACTCGTCTCATCAGTTGACCGTGTTGTATGAAAAATAAAAATAAAAATCACATGTACCATTGAGGTTTTTTTTTAAATTTAATTTTTTAATGGATTGTGTCATCACAAATATGATTTCGAATATGAACAAAAACTATTTTGGTGGTAAAATTCCTTTCTCAATGGTGAAATCTTCCCAACCAACTTTTCTGTTACTATTCTCAAGTGTTTGAGTCATATCACTTTTCTAATCTATGTTGATTCCAGTTCAATAAACTCATTCGTCATAATAAGTTGTGGTTGTATGTTACCACGGTACTAGCTAGACTTTATCATAGGCTTTTGAAGTGTTTATGGCACATTACTTGTGTTACAAGTCATGGGGCCTGCTTATTTTCAATTCTTTGATGGTATCAAAGATAAGTTAGCATTGGCCTTGAATTGAAGTTAGCATTGGTCCATTGAATTTGGACCAACAATTTCCACAATTTGTGGCATTGTATCTTGCTGAAAATCATTTGAATGGTATTATTCCACTCTATATATAGTCCTTTTTCTAAGAAGCACTGAGAGTTATCAGGAGAATTTCCTCATGGAGTCTGTTGCATGAAATCTGGACTATAGATGTTGCATAGAATTAATAATAATTAAGTTTTGGATTTATCATAGGTTTTTGGGGGGTGTTTGTTGTGGCACCTAATTACCTTTTATATTATACAAGAAATTAAAACTACTATATAAATATGATGATAAGATGTCACATATGATATATGGCACCTACGGGTTGATTGGCATAATTGCTTGCATCGTCTCCAGCACATGTCGTTTAAGATTTCTCATATCTTTCATAACGATAATCATGCAACAGACACTTTGGCAAATCAATGTGCTTTGGGCTCTGATTTCACATGGTGGGACACTACACCCTCTTTATTTTGTCTTTTTGTCATCGGGACTAGTTGGGCATGCCTAATTACCATTTTACTTAGGCCTTGTTCGTTTAAATTTTGAGAGCCCATTTTCATTTTGAGAGAACAAAAACAAACAAAAAACCTGTTCGGTGGGCAAAAATAGAAAACACGGAGAATGTTTTAAGAAAATAAGAACAACTTCATGTCTACTTGTAGAAAATAGAACAAAGTTGTTTTCATTCTCATAGGAAACAAACGCTGAAAACACGCTGCTTCTCTCACTCAATCTTCTCTCCTCATCAGACCAAAACCACCGTCAAAAGCTGCCCGCAGAGCTTGAACCACAACCATCACCCAATGAAAATCACCACTGCCCCATCGAACCAGATTGACATTACTGCCACTCAATCAAACCCAACAGAATCTCTACGCAATTGAATTGAACCACCATCGTTGAACAACTAATTGCCATCAATTTTACCAAGAAAAGGAAAAGAAGTTGGGAAGCTACTAGAAGGTGAGGTTGCAGTGAGAGAGAGAGACAGAGAGAGGGTGCGGCGACATGAAAAGAAAGTGAAAAAGAGAAGGTTAGGTTGGGGTTGGTCTGAATCTTCAATTTTGGAGAGAGAGAGAGAGAGAGAGAGAGAGAGAGAGAGAGAGAGAGAGAGAGAGAGAATTGGGGTGGGTTTGCAGAGAGTGAAAGAGAAGGTTAGGTTGAGGTTTCATTTTAATTTTTTTTTAATGATAATTCTAGTTTTATACTTTAGAATTTTATTCTATTTTTTTAAATGATATTCTTTTAGATGATTAAAAAAATACTTTTGAAAAATAATATACATACTAATTTATTTATTTTTGGAACTCACATGTTGATTACAAAATGTTGTATTAAAAAAAACAAAATGCATTTTAATTAAAGTTATAGATTCTTTGTTTTTGTTATTATCAAATTGTTCTACCAGACACATTTCCACTGTTTTTATTTTCTGAAAATGTTTTCCAATTAATCTACCAGATGAATTTTCGAATCTTGAAAATGCAAATTCATTTTCTTGTTTTCATTCTCAGAAAACATTCTTCGGAAATGTTACTGAACGGGCCCTTAGTCTCTATCTTTTTGTTTACTCTTTCAGAATTTTGGTTTCTTTGGTCAACAAGTTATGGTTTGATAAGTTCTTGAATTCACTACACAGTCCCCTTCTATTGAGGGATCCCTCAAATAATTTTATTTGAGGGACGCCCTTTAAAGTACCCTACAATTTTTTTTCCAATGATCCAAATCATATATTTTTTAGGTCTTCATTTATAGATCATCCTTACAAAAAAATTAGACAAATCGGAAATCGTTTCGACATCAAATTGTGTCTTACAAAATCAATGAACACGGTGCTTCAAGAAAGTACTAAAATTTCAATAACTCAATTGAGTGGTCAAATGATATCGGATTCAAGTGATTTTTTGTAGAGATGATCTTTGAATGAGTATCTACAAAATAGACGGTTTGGATTAGTGAAATACAATCCATAGTGGGGCCTACAAGGGGTGTCCCTCAAATAAGCTTATTTGAGGGATCCCTCAATGGAAGCTCTCTGTTCACTACACGAGTAACTACGAAATTTATGTGCAAAAATAACTGTTTCACTAGTTCTCCTATTTTTCGGTTCTCTTATAATTATCTAATCTCTTGATTCTCTTCCACCTCGGCACAATCTTTTTTAACAAACTAATCTTTTTTTCATTTCTTTTTTCTTTTACCATTAGAAAAAGAAAATAAAACTAAAAACCCATTTGTGTCGAAGAAAGTTATCTGCGGAAAAATCATGATATGATCAGCCTAAAAAAGAGTGATAAAGCGATCTCTGATTCTTCTATTGTAACTTGTGGAACTTGGACGTAGATTTTGTTTGTTGCTTGGCTGGTTTCATTGTGCCATATCAGGGTTGATGCAAAAGTAATAAGCCAACCAGACATCATTGGAGACCAACAATCAATCATCCTATCTCAAACCCTTTACTTAGAAAAAACAAAAGAATGTGCAAATTTTGTATCTATACAATAAAATTCAATAATATCATGAGTTAATTTCTTTTGCACTCACCATATATAAAAGTAAATAGAAGCATGGCTAGCATTTGCCCAACTAACCACTTTCTTTGAAATGGACTTACAATTTGAGCAGCCAAAAAGTAGACTAGAGTTTAGCCAAGAAAATGCATCATCTACATGTACATGAATGGACTTGCAAACTTGCAAAATGGGTTGAGGAGACCTGGACCTGGAATCCTGATTATCTATCAGTCCCTTCCCTTCCCTTTCTATCAACGAAACAGTGACAAGGAAATATAGCAAATATAAATGGTTGGAGTATTTGTGAGGAGATAGAGTAGGACAAACTTTTAGACTCGATCCTATTCTGATTTTTCTTGGTTCTCCTCCCTGTATAAAAGGATTCTTGGTGGAGACACATCGCATGCCTTTTCCCTTTATTTTTATCTTTTTTTTTTAAGTCTTAAATTCAATTTCAAAGTTTCCAACTAACAAAAATTGATTTCAATTTATTTAAAGCTTGAAATTCCAAAATGGCAGTGTCACAGTTCACAGGCCAAGTCAGAAAATATTCAGGCTCTCTACCCACTTGGACGACTTTCCTAATTGAAGCCATTAAATTATGGGAGATTCACTAATATACCCAATATAGGAGCCCAAATTATAAAAAAACCCTATATGAAATGGAATTTATAAACACACCCAAAACCCATTTATAACATAACAAAAAGGCTTTTAACTTCTTTTAAATTACAAAATTGCCATTGATTTCTTAAAACAAACCCAACCCAAAATTTCATAAAAAAGCCCAAAACACTCAATAGGATATCAAAGTAATTTAATAATTAAAATTAAATTTAATAGTACCATTTGTCATTTTTTGGGTTTTTTTTGGGTATGTTTATAAAAATGAAATGATATAGGGTTTATTTATAGTTTTAGTGCTAAGAATGGGTATATTACTAAATATCTCTTAAATTATTGGTCTGTTTGCTTCAGATTTTGTGCACCGCTGTCAACCTATGAATTTAGGAAATCCAACAAAATTATAACCAATGAACCAAAAGGAATAATTATTCATAACACTTAAACAGTAACCATATAATTAAATACATAGAATAGAAGCATGGCTAGCATATGCCCACCTAACCACTTTCTCCGAAATGGAATTACAATTTGAGCAGCCAAAAAGTAGACTACGTACAGTTTAGTCAAGAAACTGCATTATCGGCCAAGGTAGGTAAGTGTCTCACATTCTTTGTAATTTCACGGTACATACAGAGAGACAGAGAGAGACAGAGAGAGAATGTTGATGACCAGTGCCGGCCCTGAGGGTGGGCAAGGAGGGCGATGGCCATGGGCCTCGCATTTGTAGGGCCCCAATTTATATATATATATATATATTATACATGTATCAAGTTGAAGAATATGATTTTAGAGGAGAATAATTTCAATAGTTTGGCATTTGGAGGCCCTAAATATGATTACAAGTGTTTTTGAAGAGTCTAAATGAAAATTATATAATATATGAACATCAATTGCAGTATTTAAGTATTTGATTACCAAAAAGTATTTAATTGCTAAAAGTAGTAATCAATGAAAGAAAGCCAATAGGGACTAGAAATAAGCATTGATGAGAATGATAGTGATGAGGTGACACTAGCAATTGCGTTGAAGGTGGGTCGTTTCCAAAGGAAATTTTGTGATGTTTAGTAGTGTATTATGATTAAATTGTTGAAAAGTTTAATTTGAAGAGAGTAGTGTCGGCCACTCCTTACAGTCTTCCCATTTACAATTAGCTATGATTGACTTGAGTCCTGGTCAATGGTCATTACTCAATCTAGTACACATGCCTAGAATTGCAAATAACTTGTAAAATGGGTTGAAGATATGAAATCTTATCTGGACGGCATGATTTCAATAATTCTTTGCACTCTCCTTTGCCTCCTATAAATTCAATTATTCTGCTCAGAAGCCAACTCCACAAAAGCAAAGAAAACTTTGCACCAGAATGGCTAGCTTTACAAATTACTTATTCAGTCCTACATATCACCTCAGCATTGCTCATTATTTCCTCATCTTCTTTTTGGCCTCCTCATATCCACACACTAGTAAACTCCATTTTGGTGATGCACTTCCAAATTCGAAACCATGCATCGACGAGGAGAGACGTGCTCTCCTCGCCTTCAAACAAGATCTCACTGATCATTCTGGGAGGCTTTCTTCTTGGGTTGGTCAAGCTTGCTGTCAATGGAAAGGCATTTCATGCAACAACATCACAGGTCATGTTCAAAAGATTGATCTCCAAAATACATACACATACACACTTTCTGTTTTCAATGGAGAGTGGGATGAGATGGAGAACTCTTCTTTGGGTGGTAAGATAAATCCTTCTTTGCTTAGCTTGAAACATTTGAGCTACCTAGATCTAAGCAGGAATGATTTTAAAGGGATTCCCATTCCCACATTCTTTGGTCAGCTCAAAAGTTTGAGGTATCTCAATATCTCACATGCTTCATTTGGAGGAGAGATTCCAGCTCATCTTGGTAACCTATCAAACTTGAACTATCTTGACCTAAGTGAAGAGTCTTTCTACTCTTTACTTGAATTACCTTCCAACAACTTGAAATGGCTTTCCAATCTCTCTTCCCTAAAATACCTCAGTCTTGAAGGAGTGGACCTCAGCAACACTGGGGTAAGTTTGGTAATTGCTTTTAACAAGTTTCCTTCCCTACTAGAGTTGCACCTACCCGCATGTCAAATTAAAAGCCTTCCAATCTCACTGGGAAATGTTAATTTCACATCACTTTTGATCCTTGACATGTCATATAATGATTTGAAGTTTCCACTTCCTGAATGGTTTTTTCATCTGACTAGCCTCAGAAAACTTGATCTAAGCGGTAATTTTTTGGGTGGTCCAGTTCCCAGTGAATTTCAAAGCCTCAAATCACTAGAAGCTCTTGATTTGTCTTTTAATGATCTTTCAGGTCAAATTCCCAAAATTTTGGGAACTTTTGCAATCTAAAGACATTGAATCTTGCAAATAACCAATTTGAAGGGGGGATTCAAGAGCTTTTGGGTGGTTTCTCAAGTTGTCCCAATAGTGAATTAGAGTCATTAGATTTGTCTTCTAATAAGCTGAAAAGCCAATTGCCTGCCTCAGTAGGGATGCTACACAACTTGAAGTATCTTAACCTCTACAATAATGATATGAGTGGGTCCATTCCTAAAAGTTTGGGGCAACTCTCCGAGCTTGTTCACCTAGATCTATCTTTTAACCCATGGGAAGGGTTTTTAACAGAAGCCCATTTCACAAATCTCACAAGATTGAAATACTTTTCATTAGGCAAAGTCTTCCCAAGACCAACTCTACCAATTCCTCTCATCTTCAATGTGTCTTATGAGTGGGTTCCTCCTTTCAAGCTGCACAAATTAACATTGGGAACTGTAAAGTAGGTCCTGCCTTTGGGGCATGGCTTCAATCTCAAACTGAACTTGTCTTTGTCAAACTTTCTACCACTGGAATCTCAGATTCTATACCCGAGGATTGGTTCTTGAAATTATCTTCCCAAGTTGAGTATTTGGATTTATCTGCCAACCAAATCCATGGAAAGCTTCCCTTGCAATTGAAACTCCCAAATGCAGTGCTTTTGGATTTGGGTCATAACTAATTTGATGGACCAATTCCACTTTGGTCTGGTGACAATGTGGTTGAGTTTAAGCTTGAAACTAATTCATTTTCTGGCACCATTCCATTGAATTTTGACCAAAAGTTTCCAAAATTGGAATTCCTTTATCTTGCTGAAAATCATTTGCATGGCACCATTCCACCTTCCATTTGCAACATGAAACACTTGTATACTCTTTCTCTGAGAAACAACAATCTATCAGGAGAATTTCCAAAAGCATGGAGCCTGTTGCCTGATATTATGATTGTAGATGTTGCATACAATAGTCTCTCAGGCAATCTTCCCAGTTCAATGGGTGACTCAGGTTCTCTTTTCATGTTGAAGATGAACAACAACAATTTCGAGGGTGAAATTCCTTTTTCCTTGCAAACCTGCACTTCTTTGAGGAATATTGATCTTGGGAATAATAGATTCACTGGTGAAATACCTCCATGGATAGGATCAACTGCTTTCTTGGTGTCAACCCTAAGGCTGAGATCTAATTTTTTAAGTGGACATATCCCACAACAGCTGTGCAATCTTGGCTACCTTCATATCCTAGACCTTGCTCACAACAGCTTTTCCGGAACAATCCCCAAGTGTTTGAACAATCTCACTAGTCTCAGAATCTTTAATAACAGTTTTTATATTTTATATCTAGCGTATGACCAACAAACAACAGTGATGAGAGGAAGAGAACTCCAATTGAACACTTCTCTAGCGTATGTAAAAAGCATTGATCTTTCATCAAATAGGTTTCAAGGTGAAATCCCTCAAGAAATATGCAGCCTCGTTCTATTGAACAGCTTGAACTTGTCGATGAATCAGTTCAGTGGAAACATCCCATCAAAGATCGGAAACTTGTCGCAGCTCGATACTCTTGATCTCTCACTCAACCACCTTTCAGGACACATTCCTCAAAGTCTTTCATCCTTGACCTTCTTGTCTAACTTGAACTTGTCCTATAACAACTTGAGTGGTGAAATTCCTTTGGGAAACCAACTCCAAGCACTCCCTGATTCATCCATTTATGAGGGCAACCCATTCCTTTGTGGATTTCCTCTTTCAACCAAGTGCTCCGAAGATGGCAATTCTACTCCCAAGGATCCAAAAGACAATGACAGTGAAGATGGAAATGAGAAGTTCTGGTTCTATGTAAGTATGGCACTCGGTTTTATCGTTGGCTTTTGGGGTGTTTTCGGCACATTAATTGTGAAGAAGTCATGGAGGTACGCTTATTTTCGATGGTTTGATGACATCAAAGATAAGGCAACACTATTTTTGCGTCGCTTGGTTTGCCAAGAGTGAATTTTAAAGGGGATTGTATGCAAGTCATCCCAGCTATTGCATGGACAAATGAAGACCTTTTTTATTTTGGTAGTATTATTGATGATATAAAAACCCTGGTTACAAACCAGAATGGGTTTAGTTTTTTTGTTTGCTAGGTGTCAAGCCAATGAGATAGGGCACCTTGTTGCGCGGAGTGCACTATCTTATGATTTTAAAGTAGAGTGGTTTGAGGAACCACAAGATATTATTCAAGATTGTCTTCTTTTTTATGCTTGTAATAGGGGTAAGGTTTAAAGCCCCCGTTTTTATTTTAATGATTAATAAAGTTTCCCTCGTACCGTCGAGGTTCTCTCAAAAAAAGATAAAACAACACTAGCAATTGCAATGAAAGCCACTCCTTTGCAAAGGAAACTTTGATGAAAACAAGAAAGTAGAAAAAGTTCTTTTAAAATCAAAATGCTTGAGTATTTATGAAGTTCATATCCCATGTGATATGTTTTTGGGAGTTTCACTAAAACACCCAAAATGGGTTCTGAAATTATAAAAAAAACCCAAACACTATTTAAACATATAAACACACCCAAAATCCATCATTACACACACTCAAAACCCATTTAGAAACACACCCAAAAGTTGACTTTGGGGTTGATTTTGGGTGTGTTTCTATGTTTAAATAGTGTTTGGGTTTTTTTATAAATACATGTCTAGGATTGGGTTATTTATAAATTTGTATATGTTTTTAGTAAATTGAGCTTAGATCCATAAAATTCATTTTAAATCACCTACAACCCTTTCCTTTAGTTTTCTATTTAAAATGAATAATGCTACTCTTACCACATTTGTATACCACATTCTCGTATCACCTTATGTGGCATATGAGGTGGACAACACATCAATTAAAATTAATTTAAACTTTTCTTATCTTTTATGATTTATTGACACTTTTTAATTGATGTAATTGTCCACTTCATCTGCCACATAAGGTGGGTATGAAAATGTGGGATATAAATGTGGTAAGTGTAGCATTACTCATTTAAAATACCCAATTTTTTCAAATAATACCCGTTGACTAGGATCCAACTAAGCAAGTTACTTAATATAACTTAAATATGTTTATTGTATTTTTTTGAATTCCAAAACTACCCCTATTTATGAGTTAATATGTTATGGGGGGGTGTAACTAATGACACGTTGAATTTGGAAATATCTCCAAATAATGTAATGGATGTAGGAACTAATTTAGAAACTTATTTGAAATTAAATATTAAATCCACCTTAAAGTATTAGTAATCTATTTTACGACTAGTAATCTATTTTTGAATTAATGGTGTTTTCCTTCTATGAATTACTATTAGTAATCTATTTAAAATATTAATAATTTAAATTCAATATTAAATTTAGGATTAATATTGTTTTCTTTTTATGAATTTTATGACCAGTATTCTTTTTATTATAGTTTATGAATAATAGTGTACATTCTAATTATGTTGAAAAATAATTTGATAATCTATTTATGTTTTGTTTTTAAAACTTTTTTTAATGGATCTATTTTTTCTCCAAATATTGTGCCTATTTTTTTTCTTTATTGCTTGTTTTATGAAAAATAATTTGATCATCTTTCATTGTTTGTTTTATGAAAATAAATTTTTTTTAAATGAGCCTATTTTTCTCTCATAATAATGTTCTTTTTTTTTCTCTAATAATGTACCTATTTTTCTCTCAAAATTATGTACCTATTTTTCTCTCCAAATATGTGCCTATTTTTCTCTCACAATATTCTACCTATTTTTTCTCTCAAAATAATGTACCTATTTTTTTTCTCTAATAATGTACCTAGTAAAACAATTTACCTAGTATAATGAATCTATTTTTCCTCTAATAATGTATACCTAGTAAAACAATTTACCTAGGATAATGAACTTATTTTTTTTTCTTCTAAATAATGTACTTGTTTTTAATTTATAAAAAATGTGCATAATTTCAATTATACAACATACCTATTTTCTATAAATTATTATGTACCTATTTTTAATTTATGAAAAATGTACGGAAATTTCAATTACAAAGTAATTGACCTATTTTTGTTATTTTTTTTGGTAAATAATATACCTATATTTTTATACGTATATATTTATATTTATATTTTCATATGTACATTATTGGATATGTAATTTACATTTGTTTTTTGTTTTTTTTGTAATTTTAAGGGGCCATATGTTAGAGGGAATGGCAACCAAAAGAAATGGGGTGATTGATATGCTATTAATAGGGAGTTTAATTACAATTATGGCAGTTAATGAAATACTTGGAATAAATTATAAATAAAATATGAAGTTTGATGGCAAGGATGTAAAAAACATAAGAATATTATGACCTCTTATATCCTACTGGTCATTTAAGTTTGAAATTGGGTTTTACACATAGATTATAGAATGATAGGTATATGTCTAGGAAATAGAAATTGTAGGGACCTATATTGGACAAGCCCTATGTTTTTCCCCTTCAGTTAGAACACCACAATATTCGACCAAAAAAAGAACACCAAAAATTCGTTCTTTGACTTATGAATTTTAAAATTAAATTGTGCACCCAAACAAATGATTAATGTCGTATTAAACTTACTAACCATTTTCCACATGTATATAGTTGGATTTATATATATATATATATATACACACACTAGCTTCTTCTTTTTTGTGATGATTTCCTCACTCCTCTTTATCCACTTACACTGCCTTTTGTTTTTTTAAATACTTTTTACTATAACAAAAAATGGAGTGTAAACGGACAAAAGATGAGTGAAAATATATAATTTCCAACAAAGGAAGTGTAAGTGGATAAAAGAGGAGTGAGAAAATCAATTCCCTTTTTTGGGTTGATAACCTCAGCATTTTTATATTCAATCCCCCTAAACTGAGCATTTTTATTTCCAGTCCAATTTTGAGAATTTTATTTTCCCATTTCAATTTAACTCAGGACGTCGAGGAAAAATACAATTGCATATAATAAATAAATAAACCATTTTCTAAGTCCCAACAAAGGCCAAAATTGAAATATATAAATAAATAAAAACAATTTCAAAAGAAGTCTAAGAACTTAGGAAAAAAAAACATCAGTACATGTAATAACAACTTGAAACATTTAAATTGTTCATCTCTATCAAACAATGCTTCATCATACTTTGGAACAATTGCAGTACCATACTGTATTAAAGCATGCCTTCCGTGCCCTATGACCCCAAGTCAAAACCATCATGCATCCACAGATAGTCTCTAAGACAGTGGAGACCAATGTTTCCCCACCCCCATTGTGGTCCACTAGTGCTTCAACCCTTATCTCTTGATTTACTTTCCGGGTCAATACCCTTCGATTTGATATCATTATTTTTGTCCTCAAAGTGGAAAATTGTACCTTTCTGAGAATCTAAGTGTTTGAATAATATGGCTACATTGGTCTATGGTGATTCCACTACATTTGTTCTATCACTATCATGTAATTTGCAATATGTACTTGCAGGCTATTAAATAAATCACTGAAGACGCCAACTTCGCCTTCTTTTTTTCTCTCTTTTAAATCTTTTCATAAATTTTCCACCAAGAACACAAGTTTGTCACATGTGAAGAATGCAGTGTGTTTGGTGATCACGCGAAGGGCACATAGTCAACAATTTTGTTAAAATAATCAACATCGGAACACGAAAGAGGAAAACGCAGAGGAAAGAGACCAACTTGAACTCCCTTTTTTTCCTTGGTGAATCTTCCTCACAGTGTTTTGTTAGTTTTGTTTATGCCTACTTGCCAATCTAGCCAACTTGTAAAATGGGTTGAATACTTGGAATCTGGATGGCAATGATTTAGTTATTCATTTTACACTTTCATAACCTCCTATAAGTTTAATTTTCTGCTCAGTTGCCATCTGCCCCACACCAAAGAAAATTTTGTATGAAAATGTATAGCTTTGCACACTCATTCAGCTCTAACTTTCACCTCAACATTTCTCACTATTTCCTCCTTTTCTTTTTCGCTTCTTCATACTACACAAGATCTTAGTGTGAAACCATGCATCCATGAAGAGAGACGTGCGCTTATCACCCTAAAACAAGATCTTACCGATCCTTCTGGGAGGCTTTCTTCTTGGGCTGGTCAACATTGCTGTCAATGGAAAAGGAATTTCATGCAACAACAAAACAGGTCATGTCGAAATAATGAATCTATGAAAAGAGAATCATGATGCAGATCATGATTCCAAACAATCAGCCCATTCCATGAAATCAGTCGATCCCACTAAATCAGCATTGACAGACTCCCATCACAAGATCAGCTTCATCCCAGCTAGGAATTAGTTTACAATTGATTTTGTAATATATGAGATAATTATACTTACCTTATATTACTTACCTTCTGTAAATAGACTTGAGAAAGTCTAACCCGTGTACAATATATATACAGCTGATAATACAAGAACAGATTATCTTGGTCTGTGCAATATTCTTCACTTCTGTCTCTCATCTCTCTTCCTCTTCAGTTTATTTTCTTATATGAAACACGTATACGTATACGCTATGTAGAGTGGGATAAGATGGAGCACTCTTCTTTGGGGAGTAAGATAAATCCTTCTTTGCTTAGCCTGAAACATTTGAATTACCTAGACCTAAGCCAGAATGATTTTCATGGGATTCCCATTCCCAAATTCTTTGGTCAGCTTAAAATTTGAGGTATCTCAATCTCTCCTATGCTTCATTTGGAGGAGAGATTCCACCACAGTTTGGAAACCTCTCAAACTTAAACTATCTTGACCTCAGTGAAGAGTCTGACTACTCTTTACTTGAACTTCCTTCCAACAACTTGAATTGGCTTTCCAATCTCTCTTCCCTAAAATACCTCAACCTTGAAGGACTGGGCCTCAACAAAACAGGGGAAGGTTGGCTACATGCTGTTAACATGCTTCCTTCCCTACTAGAGCTACACTTACCAGCATGCCAGATTGAAAGCCTTCCACTCTCCCTAGGAAATATTAGCCTCAAATCACTTTTGATCCTTGACATGTCATTTAATGAGTTGAAGTTTCCATTCCTGAATGGCTTTTGAATCTAGCTAACCTCAGAAAACTTATCTAAGGGGGAATTCATTCAGTGGTGCCTTTCCCCTTGAACTTGGAAGGCTCAAATCATTGGAACATCTTGATTTATCTTTCAATGCACTTGAAGGTCAAATTCCCGAACTGGCTGGAAATTTTTGTAACCTAAAGATCTTGAATCTTGCTAGCAATAAATTTGATGGGGAGATTCAAGACCTTTTGGGTGGTTTAACAAGTTGTCTTAACACAAATTTAGAGTCAATAGATTTGTCTTCTAATATGTTGCAAAGAGATTTGCCTGCCTCCTTGGGGATGCTACACAATTTGCAGTATTTTAGTCTCTACAATAATGAAATGAACGGGTCCATTCCTGAAAGCTTGGGGCAACTCTCTCGGCTAACTCACCTAGATTTATCTTTAAATTCATGGGGAGGGTTTTTAACTGAAGCCCATTTCACAAATCTCACAAGATTGAAATACTTTGCATTAGGCGAAGTCACCCCATACCCTACTCTACCTATTTCTCTCATTTTCAATGTGTCTTATGAGTGGGTTCCTCCTTTCATGCTTCACACAATCAACATTGGAAACTGTCAAATAGGTCCTACCTTTGGAGCATGGCTTCAGTCTCAAACTGAACTAGCCTTTGTCAAACTTCATGGTGCTGGAATCTCAGGTGCCATACCAGAGGACTGGTTCTCTAAAATATCTTCCAAAGTCTATTATTTGGATTTGTCTTACAACCAAATCACTGGAAACCTTCCATTGCAATTGAAATTTCCAAATGCTCTGATTTTGGATTTGAGTCATAATCAAATTCATGGCCCCTTCCCACTTTGGTCCAGTGACAATGCGATCCGTCTTCAGCTTCAAACCAATTCATTTTTTGGGCCAATTCCAATGAATTTGGACCAACGATTTCCACAATTGTTGGCACTGTATCTTTCTGAGAACCATTTGAATGGTACTATTCCACTCTCTATTTGCAACCTCAAAAACTTGCTAGTCCTTTCTCTGAGAAGCAATGAGCTGTCAGGAAAATTTCCTCAAGCATGGAGTCTGTTGCAGGAAATATGGGTCATAGATGTTGCATACAACAATCTCTCAGGCAAGCTTCCAAATTCAATTGGTGTCCGGGGTCACTTTTATGTTGAAGGTCAACAACAATAATTTGGATGGTGAGATTTCCACTTTCCTTGCAAAATTGCACTTCTTTGAGGCACATTGATCTCGCAAATAATAGATTCACTGGCACCATACCTTCATGGATAGGATCAAATGTGCCCCTGGTGTCGATCTTACGACTGCGATCGAATTTCTTTACTGGACATATCCCCCAACAGCTGTGCAATCTTGGCTACCTTCACATCCTAGACCTTGCTCACAACAACTTTTCAGGAACCATCCCCAAGTGTTTGAATCATCTGAGTGCTTTAACGCATGGCAATTTAGTGCCTATGACTTATATTCATATTATGACCAGCAAACATCAGTGGTGAAAGTAACAGAACTCAAATATCAGTCGCAGACTTTGATGTTGGTTAAAAGCATTGATCTTTCCTCGAATAGCCTTGAAGGTGAAATCCCTGAAGAAATATGCAGCCTCCTCCTGTTGCACAGCTTGAACTTATCGAAGAACCAACTAAGTGGAAACATTCCCTCAAACATTGGAAGCTTGCAGTTGCTCGAAGTTCTTGATCTCTCACGCAACCGCCTTTCAGGCTGGATTCCTCAAAGTCTTTCATCTTCCACCTTCTTGTCTCACCTGAACTTGTCCTATAACAACTTGACTGGTAGAATTCCGTTGGGAAACCAACTCCAAACCCTCACAGATCCATCCATTTATATGGGTAACCCATCATTGTGTGGGGTTCCTCTGTCAACTAAGTGTTCCGAAGATGATCACACTCCTACAAAGACAATGATCATGAAGATACACATGATAAGTTGTGGTTCTATATTAGCATGGCACTCGGCTTTATCTTAGGCTTTTGGGGTGTTTGTGGCACCTTACTTGTGAAGAAGTCATGGAGGTATGCTTATTTTCGATGGTTGATGACATCAAGGATAAGGTGATGCTAGCAATTGCATTGAAAATGGCTCGTACTCAGAGGAAATTTGATTGGAATAGAAATATGGAACCAAGTGCTTGAATTCACAACACTTGAGCAAGTATGAAATTCGTGTACCATATGAAGTTTTCCCCTGTATGCACTTGTTTTGATTACTTAGAATACGGAACCCACCGTTCATTTCAAGTACTATTTCTTTTTTCTGCAAGGCTTTCATTTCAACTCCACTAGCAAATGGAGTTCAGTCAGCTATTGTGCTAATCAGTGGCCATCCAGGTTTGGTGGGTTGAATTAAACTTCAGGGGTAAATTTGGTGGGTTGTTTGTAGTGGACTCTGTATATATAGTATTTGGCCCAGCCCAACTGACCACTTTCTCCGAAATGGAATTACAATTGGCGTAGAGTTACAGTTAAACTAAAGATAGACTAGTACAGAGCTGTGCTCTAATTACTCAACATTGCATTTTAACACCATCTGCCTGATTTGACTTGAACTTGAAAAATTAGGGTGAAGATGTCACACCCCAATTTTTTTTTTTTGAGGGAATGTGAGGTAAAGAAAAATTAAAACTAAAAACTTAAATATCAAGAAACATGAAGATTGAACATAACTTCCATTTAAGTTAAAGTAATTTACATTGTACTATTACAAGCAAAATAATAAGAAAGTAACAAACTTTCAGCAAAACACTCAAAACTATCCATAATCCATTTTCTTGTTTCTCAGCAAAATCTAAACTTCAGATTCAAAGCCTGCAATAGATTCAATAAGGGGTGAGCATTACATGCTCAGTAGGGGTCCTATGTCTTATGGGATTAGTGAGAATTATAATGTACAATGTATGCAATGCATGAATGAACTTCATTTCTACCCAACCCGTAATTTATATAATAGGGCAAGCAAAATCTGCATGTCCCATACCATGCATTTTACCACTGTGATTCCGAATGCCCCATTATATAAAACTAACACCCGTCTCAAGTTACCCCATAATTCCCTTTGTTAGTCATCTTGTCTACACCATTGATCTCCAAGCCCAAATCACCCATCGACAATTATACCGCCGATTTCCTAATCTACTGTGCACACGGGCTCGCCTGAACTTGGTCCCTACAATGGTTAGACTCAACTACACAAAAAGATTCTTCTCATTATCCTTTTCCATAATTTCTTTATCAACCAAAAATTCCAACCAACCACACCGACAAACATATGAATGTCAGTATTCATCAAATTATAATGATAATTGACAATACATATAACCAATCTCAAGGATAACAAATCAAATGAAATAACCAAGCATAATATAGTATTACAATAATAATCAAATAATATTACTAAGCATAATATAGCATTTACAATATTTAATTAAATCAATGTATGCAAAACCTCCCAAGAAAAACCCCTACCTCAAATCCAAAGCTATTGTACACTTCCCAGTTGAGCTTTTCCAAAATCTATCACACTTAGTTTTCACTCTCGAATTTTTAAGAAACTCACACAACTTTAAAGAACCTATGATTCAATAACTATTAGTTAGAACTATATATAGTAGGTTAGAGTCGGCAAAACATTTATAGATGAAGCTTTAACATTATGCCACCTAACTAACCTAGGGATCTCTAGACTACAACCTATGATTTATAGACTAAATTGGTGGCTTGAAGGTAAAACTGCCACTCCATTTAGTTCTTAGGTGTTGGCTTCCGAAGAGTGCTTAGTGAGCACTTGCCAAATACATTATATATATGAGAACATCTAATATTCTTACATACACTCATCTCAAAACATACCACCTCATGCTTCAATTGGTTTTTGAAGTCTCCCTAATGCAACACGTCACTTAAGAGAAAGCTTAGTAAGCATCAATACCTTTCTAAAGCTTTTGTGTGTATAGCATAAATATTAAATGAATTGCTATAGTTAAATTCATACAATGAGGTTTGATAGGCTATAACAAGATTCACGTAGCTTACCATTTAACTAACTAATATATATATAGTTTTGAAAACTAATATTATAAATAATTAATTTTATGAAATATTAATATACATATTTAAAAATATGGGGTTTTACAGAGGACCTGGAAACGGTGATGGACTGAAGTTCTTCACCCATGATCAACAATGCATCCGACGAGGTGCAGTGATTTGCAACAAGTATATTCTAATGAGTATCAATACTTAATGTAGGCTAATGAGGATCTTGAGCTTCAGCATTTATGAAGTGTGAATCTTCGTGCATTTCGCAAAAACTGGAGCATTCATCTAGACCCTTCTTACTTTCAATGTACCACTATGTTTCCATCCAAAATTTTTACACTATACAAAAAATAACACATCCAAGCATATATAAATGCATATATACAATTGTGATGTTAACAAACATCAAATCAATACTGAAGAAGCTTTGTCAGCGGCATTGTTTTAGTCTAAGGGATGTTTGGTTTGTTTGTTTTTTTTTTTGTTTTGTCAAGATTGATTGATGCTTTGAAAATTTTTTATTGATTTATTTGAGAAACAAAAACATTGACTTTTATACAATCTAATTATTCAATCAAATATTATTAATTCAGTATTTCGATCAAATTATTATTAATTTTGTGAAATATACAATTATTATTAATAGTCAATTGATACAAATAAAAAACAATCGTCATGCTAATTAGTCAAGAAAACACACATCTCTCTGATTGGACTTCGCAAAGTAGTTTGAGGATCTGGAATCTGGCCGGCGGCACCGTTGATTTTGGGTTTGATTTTTACACGCTCCTAGACTTGTACAAATGTATGAGCTCATTTATTGTGTGCTCATCTGCATCAAATGGAGAAACCTTGATTCGTATAATGGATATCCATCGCCTCAAAATTTCTCACTACTTCCTCGTTTGTGTGGTGTATTCGGTGATATTGTGACATGCAAGCACTGGTGGGAAACAAATATGCATTGAGGAAGAAAGGCAATCTTTTTTTAAACCTATGGATGCATATGCATGATGACGCAACGCAAATATTTTCAGCCAAAAAAATAATTGCCACAAACATTATGCGATGCGTTTACCATTTTATACAACAAAAGTAAAACATGACGATAAGATGTGACATATGAGTCTATAGAAGAAGTTGGAGTATATCGTGGTGCAAGCTTAGAATAAACACATGTAGGGACACATACCAGATTATAGATGGAAATATTATCAACCTTAAAGATAAGTACTAGCTACAAACAGAATAACAACCCATTCCAAAACCAAAACAAGCAAAAATAAAGATCACACAAATAACTTATGCGATCTCTAGATGTGGAGGAGACCCTAGAAAACTCTCCACACATGTATATTTCTCAAATACAGTCCTCAAGACTACTGGATCCAAGATTTCACATCTAAAAGAGTATATAACTCATCAGTGCATGTAAGTAGTTGTTCAAAGAATGAGCCCACTCGATGGATGAGAGTAGGCTTTGGCAAACGGTTTCTAAAACAGACGATAGTTTGTGCTCTAAACTTCACGTTATATATGGAAAATGGATTAGACTACAGTTTAATCAAGAAAATGCATTTAAATCCTGTACCTGATTGGACTTGCAAGTTGCAACCTTGCGAAAGGTTTAAGGACCTGGAATCTGATGATCTATCTCTCTATCCATTCTATCGAGAGAAGGAAATAAAAAGCATACAAGGACCAATTTCTTCAGCGTACGAAAAATGCATTAAAAAATTAGATGCATAAAGTATTCTAATGAGTTGCTCGTAAATATAGGTCCACTTCCTACCCCAATGTATATTCTAATGTACGTATATTCTTTCAAAAATGTATAAGGTATATAATGATGCATTTATTGAAAAATGCTTAATATTTGGATTACAAGTCTAGTGATTTGTGAATTGTAAGAATTGGAATTGTTTGCAAGAGGTTTATAACTCAAGTGATTAAGAGCATTTATTTTGTACCCGAGGTCCTAAGTTAGATTACCCAATATCGCTTGCATCAAAACTAAAAATTGGAATAGAGCTTAACTAACTAGCCCTATATTTAGTAATATTTCTCTTCTTAATGTTGAAATATATCATAATTTCGAGTTCCCTTTTCCCATTGGTTAAGGAAAAAAATGAAAATGCTTTAAGATGTGACAAAGAAAACCTACTAGACACGTGTACAAAAATAACTCATCTAAAGTACAAAACTGGAATGCACACATATCAAATCATAATTTGCAAAAAGGATTGACTCCTTGAAAAATATATGGGATTAATTTCATCTTAAAGAGATAGAAGAAAACAAGTTCTAGAGTGTAGGCTCAATATTCTGGTTTTTTCTAAACTTCATTTATATATTTTTATTTGTGTAATTATTTATTAATTAATTTGGTATTTATTGCATTAAGTTATTTATTATTGTTTTGGAATTACAACTAACACAATTTTACAACAATCTATCCTTTAAACTCACCTGGTTTACCATATCCGTCAGTGGCTTAACACAAACAAATACATCAACTTAGGTATACCAAGGTTCGTATATATGTATTTATTTATCAGTCACCCATAGAGCTAACACTTTACCATATTGGTCAGCCATGAGAATTTGACATCAAGATTTTGATATATTATTTTTGACATATCTTTTCCACCCTTTAAATTCATGTAGAATTTGACGGTTGTAGCAACTTTAACCTTTAGTTTTGTCATTTCATGTCAACGTGACAATTTGATATATTAACTCGAGATGCTTTAACCATCTCCAAAGAATATGTCAAATCTTATGTGGCACTTTTAACACTACAATATGAATAATATTAGTCTTACCACATTTTTATACTACAATTTCATATCACATGATGTGGCAGCTGATGTGTACATACCACATCATGTAAAATAATGGTTTATGTTTTTCTAATTTTATTTATTAAAATACACTTCATTCATTTAATTGATGTGGCATATGATATTGACATGCCACATCATGTGGTATAAAAATGTGAGATAAAAATGTGATAAGTGTAGCATTACTCATACAATATTATTGAATTTTTTAGCGTTGAAAATTTATGTTGATCTTTTTTATGTTCTTTTCATCAACCAACGTGGAGATGGATGATTTTTTTTGTTTGATTATATTTATGTTACATTTTTTAATTAATTTATAAGTATTTTAACTGGATTAATGAATTACTCTTAATAGTAAAAACATAAAAACTACATTCATTTAAGAAAGTATTAAATAAATCAACATTATTTTAATAAAATAGTATTTTAATTTGACATATCGAGTGGGCTGTTAAAACTATGCAAGATGTCAAATTACTATCAGCCATCAAATTAAATTAATGTTTGATATTTGACAACTCCCTTGAAGATACTTTAAAGAGATAAGATAATGGCTTTTTAAAAAGATACAAAAGATTACAAAAAAAAAAAAAAAAAAAAGAAAGAAAGTAAAGGGGAACATTGTAGAGAGGAATAGAGAAGTTTCAATTTCCAAGTAGTGCATTGAACATGGATGCTATCAATTAAAGTACTATTTTAATAAAATTTAAATTTGTCAAGATTAAAAAAACCCAGAAATGAATCCGTTCCAAGTGGCACACAAATTAAACATAAAAAATAAAGTGTGTTGCTAATAGACGTCTGGAGACCCTTCAAATTCATAAGTCTCCACGGCATCACCCATCAAAGCCTTGCTGCCCGCCAAAAGGAATACAGAATCCACATCAAACGTCAACGCGTGAAACATGAGATGGAAAAATGCATTTCACTCCATCTGGCTGACGATCTGGACCTGGAATCTTTACACACTCCTAGCCTTCTATAAATAAATGTATGAATTCACTTACTGTGTGTTCATCAAACTTGAGAAAACTTTATTCCTATGATGGATATCTATCGCCTCAATATTTCTCACTATTTCCTCCTTTTGTTCTGCTTATTTGGTAATATCGGACTTGCAAGCACTAATGTGAAGTCAATATGCATTGAGGAAGAAAGGCAAGCACTTGTGAGCTTTAAACAAGATCTGAAGGATCCGTCTGGTAGGCTTTCTTCTTGGGTAGGTCATGACTGCTGCCAATGGGAAGGGATTTCATGCAACAACCGCACCGGTCATGTCGCCAAGATGGATCTCCGCAGTCCATATCCATATCCCCGACAACCGGATGAGGAGTGGGGCTCTTCTTTGGGGGGTAAGATAAATCCTTCTTTGCTTAGCTTGAAACATTTACATTACCTGGATTTAAGTTTGAATAATTTTCAAGGGATCCCCATTCCTAAGTTCTTTGGGGAACTTAAAAGTCTTAGGTATCTCAATATCTCATTTGCATGGTTTGGGGGAGAGATTCCCCCTTCTCTTGGTAACTTGTCAAACTTGAACTATCTTGACCTCTCTTCCTCTTATTATGTTTCTAAAAACTTGAATTGGCTCTCTATCTCTCTTCCCTAAAATACCTCAATCCAATAGAGTGAATCTGAGCACACTACAGGAGTTACAAATTGGATGCATGATGTAACATGCTTCCTTCCTTACGGAGTTACACTTATCTGGCTGAGGACTAGAAAGTCTTCCACTCACTAGGGGGGATTACTTCACTCACTTTTGGTCCTGATATGTCACAAAATGATTGCAAACACTTCTTCATTTCTCAGCTGCTTTTCTTACTAGCTCGCCAACTGATCCAAGGATTTCCAAGTCTTCAGGGAATTCAAGCTACATTTAGATCTCGTATTATCGGGTAACGGTTGCGATAGTGGACCGGGCGACGAGTAGTTGGGGGAATCATTTCTGGTCGGGCCGGCGCGTTTGGGGTTGACTGCACATTGTTTCTCTCGATCTCCTGTTGCCTTTGCAGTTCGATGTTCTTGCGCTGTCGCTGGTTGGTTCTCGATCTGCCTGTCATTGTCGCTTTTTGTCTTAGCGTTGGAGGATGTGGTGGGGAGATGCGTTTCGAGTCTAGCTGGGACTTTTTGTGACTTGATCGCCGGTCTAAGTTCTCTGTGTGGATTTCGTTTCTAGACGTCTCTTCATTTGGCTTTTGACGCCAGCGAATTGATGTAGTGTGGGTTTGCCAGCCGCATTAGGATGCGTCAAGACCTTGATACGCGATCTTTAGTCGTGGTGATTTTCAACCTACTTACTGTCTTGAATTTCGCGCTGTCGTGGCGCGGCTGCCTGGTGAGGATGCGTCTGGAGGACGCGCTATTCTGTAGAGGAAGGGGCTATAGCAGGGAGGCAAGGAGAGGAAGAACGGTGTTATCGTTGTTGGGAAGTGTTGTAGTTGGGACTGGGTGGAAGGTTTCGGATGCGGTTTTTTTTTTCTTTCTTTCGCTGACGTTTGTTGTATCTCGCTGGCTTAGTTTTGTGATTGGGTATTTATCGTGTTGCATAGGACTACTTCAATTCGCATTGCTGGCTGTCTAGACATTTCATTGTCCCCTGCTGGTGTTGGTGTGTCCTCTTTGTCTTTTTAGTTCGTGTTCGATGACATAGACACTTTGCATCATCTGGTCTGCTTTTGGGTTTGGGTTGATTCTTTGCCTTGACTACATCTGACTTGATGCTTAACGACGACTGGACGTAGTACCGGCCGTCATGTTTTTTTCTGCTGCAGTAGGATTCACGGTGCGCTTTGTACCTCGTCATTCACTCGAGGCGCTTAGTGGGGCGTCTGGTCTTTGGCTCAGACTTGATGTTCTCGCATCGTATAGAGTCGAGAAACTTGAGCAGTGGTCAAGGAGGTTGGTTTGCTCGTTTCGACCGGCAGCGAGTGAGAGATAGCATACATGGTTGTGTCGAGGTTTGTTTATGTCGTGATTGTACATCGTATTTGTGGAGGTTCGTATTGAGGCGATGTGCTCAGAGTCTCTCTTGTAGTATGCAGACTATGTGTCGAATCGTGAGTAAGGGCGCAGACCTCCTAATTTTCGTCTTACCAGTTCGGGGATCTTTCTTTTTCCCTTTTTTCGTACTTTTTGCTTCTTTCTTCTTTTCTTCCCTTCTTGTCTTCTCTCGCTTCTTTGCCTGACATTGATCAATTTTTTTATGTTTTTGGGCGTTCTCTTTTTTCTTTCTCTCTTTGCTTGATTTATTGTATGCACGCGGCTTTCCGTTGTGCCTTCCTTCCTTATCTTATTTTTCCTTCTAAGTTAGTCTCTATGATTGTATTGAAACTTTTTTTCGAGAGCCTCCTTTAGCCTCTATTTATGCGCTTCCTTTTTCACTTACCTTTTCCTTGTCTTCATGTGGTTTGGCCTGCTCCCTCTTGTTGCATCTTGACCTCTCTGATTTTTGCTCATCTCTCTTGATCTGATAGCGGTGTCGAGTCTGGTTACTTCTGGTCGTTCTGCGTTTGTTCGTCGGCTTCTGTTCTTCTGTCCTCTACTCTACAGAGAGCGCCCTGTCTATATTGTCTCTGGTTTTTGCTCTTTCCTCTTTGTACTGGTTTTGCCTTACTTCGTTCGACTGTTTTCTCTGTTGGCTCAGCTTTTGTTATGGTTGACACTTATCTTACCTGCAGGTCTAGTTCCTGTTCTTTTAGCTTTGTGTTTGTTGCCTTTTCACTTCCTATACCTATTCTTTTATTCTTCTGTGTTGGTCCCCAAAAAAAAAAAAAAAAAAAAAAAAAAAAAAAAAAAAAAAAAAAAAAAAAAAAAAAAAAAAAAAAAAAAAAAAAAAAAAAAAAAAAAAAAAAAAAAAAAAAAAAAAAAAAAAAAAAAAAAAAAAAAAAAAAAAAAAAAAAAAAAAAAAAAAAAAAAAAAAAAAAAAAAAAAAAAAAAAAAAAAAAAAAAAAAAAAAAAAAAAAAAAAAAAAAAAAAAAAAAAAAAAAAAAAAAAAAAAAAAAAAAAAAAAAAAAAAAAAAAAAAAAAAAAAAAAAAAAAAAAAAAAAAAAAAAAAAAAAAAAAAAAAAAAAAAAAAAAAAAAAAAAAAAAAAAAAAAAAAAAAAAAAAAAAAAAAAAAAAAAAAAAAAAAAAAAAAAAAAAAAAAAAAACATTAAAGACATGACTCTGCCATGTGCAATTACAGTCAGTAAGGTATACACACACAAAACAAAACAAAGTGTGCGGGACAACTACTAGCAGCATGGAAAGATAGGTCCAGCATTACTTGTACATGAAGCTTGGAAACAATCACAAGTTTCTGTAATTAAGAGTAATTAAACAAAGAAAAAAATATTGACTCCCGCACATAAGATGTAACTTTCTGCAATGCCTATATCATACCATGTCCATTCATCAATACAAAGTAATATGACATACAATTTCTTTCCGAAAAGAAAAGAGAATAATATTCAGCAAAATAAATTAGTAAATCTAAATTCTAATTACTAACTCGACCTTAACCCACTCACACTGTACTAATATTATACTTTAATAACATTCTGTAGCATGTTGTATTATAAATATTAGAAGTAGGGTCTATATTTTATCAATTTTTGTGTTAGAAAATAAAGAAGTTGAGGACAAAAGATGGAATAATAAGTTCAGGTTAAAAGATCACACCTTAACATGATAACTAACATAAGCATGAAAAGTTGATAAACTGCAAACTGTTCGATCCAGTTTCTTGCCTTCCACGTGACGAGGGAAAATAACTGCATCAGTACACAGTACAAATTGTTACAGTGAAAAAATATAGATAAACTTCTTATTTCTCTGACATTACCAAAAGTGACAAATCCTGCATTGGCAGATAGTGCTTCAGCAGGAGCTTCCTTTAGTTCTAACGGAGGGGTAGGAGACCACAAACAATGAGGGGCAGTATTAAGTCCAGCCATGCGTCTTGCTTCCACAAATTCCTAAATGGTAATAAAAACCTTCGCAATTAACAATAAGAAATCACCAAACAAAAGTAAATGGATCCAAGTCAGCATAACTTGGAGGGTAGCAGGATTCAACAAGCTAGCATTATCTAAGGTCTAAAAGCACTTATAGCCTCATCAACATATATATAATAGCCCATTACAATCTCTTCCCCAATAAGAAATTCATCTTTGCAAATTAAGATCATATACTTATTATACCTGCAGGAAGGAAGTTGCAAGAACAATATCAATAGAGTCCTTGAATCTCATAGGGAATATTACCGTCACTTTCTCAGCCTGCAAAAAATTTTGAAAATTTCACCAACAAACTTTCAACTGCTTTCCTTCTAATTAGCTAAACTAGAGAATACAAAAGATAAAGAGCAATGTGATAACTTGTTGACCTTAATCTGTAATTTTACCTGAGGAATAAGGAAAAAGGACTCGTTTGGCCGATGCACAAGAGCAACAAGCCCATCAGTATTGGAAGCAACAGTCCTTGAAGTAAGCTTCTTCAGAATTCCTCTCAATGGAGCGCCTAGCACCACTTCTCTTACAGATGCAATCTTTACCAAAAGAGCATGTTTGTACTCTACACAAGAATAGCATTTAAATAACAAAGTCACAAAAGGAAAAATTGGAAAATCAGCCAAAAAGTAAATACATAAATTGGAACGTAGTCAAAAAAAGGGATGCCCACAAGAGGATAATCTAAACTCGGCAAGCTTTATAGTGTTGAATCAAGCAATCCAAGAAGCTAAAGTTGTCTGGAGACAACCCAATATTGTATATCAAGCTAAAAGCATACTAACACAAGAAAACTCCCAAACAATACAAGAAAATCTCAATATAACATCACACAAAGAATCTTATCATTGTCCCCAGTAGGCCCATATACTTAGCAAGCTAGCAAATTTTCATAGCATTGACTGGCTTTAACAAGATCCTAAACGTTTTGAGCACATATCCATGGCAATGGCAAGCTTATAATGACCTTAGAAAAGGAACTCGTTGAACCTTCATCTGGAGGGAGTTTAGAGAGATTGAGCTTCAATGTGAGATTAAACCCATCTCTTGGGGGGTCAAGAATTTGAACAACCGCACCATATGCAGCCTTTATAGCCTCTATAGCTCCAGACGGAAGCCCACCCAAGAACACGGTTTCTTGAGGTGGAGTGGGCAACGATACAGAAAGTAACAAGATATGTGGGTTCTTCATCGTCACCTGCATAATTTCAGTCATTCAATAACCCATTACAACAGTTCAAAATCCTTAATTGAATTCTGGGTAATCACCTGAATATGGTACCGAACGTCATCGAATTCGGCCCAGTGGTAGTCCGCCTCCACTGCTTTTTCGATGCTGCACAATAAGCAAAAAACCAACATGGTGAGGAACAATGAGAGGGGAAGAAGGAAGAAGAAGAATTTAATCGTTGAATGGGAAAAGAATCGAACTTTTGGAGGCGATTGAGCAAGTTGTCAAGGAGAAATCTTGAATGGGACTGCAAGAGAATCATTGAAATGAAATGGGTTTGCGGATTTGAGTGTGTTTGAGGTGTGTGTGGCTTCTGCTGCTCAGTCTCTGTGCGCGGTGAGAGCTCAGAAATGCACAATAGCTGAGAACGGAATGGATCTACAGTTGAGAATTTTGAGATGGCGTGTCACTCCAGGAGTTCCAACAAGACCAGAGACCACAATGTCGTTTTTCGCTTTCTTTTACCTCCTTTTTTATTTCTTTTTTCTTTTTTCTGTTTTTGCTTTTACTGCCTTTTTTATTGCTATTTGCTCCTCGGATGCCGGATAGTTCCAACTTTGGTACCCTAGTTCTTTCTATATTTCAAATTTCCACCCTCTCTTTCCCTTTTAACTCTATTTAAAATATAATTTCTTTTTAGAAATATGTTACTGAATTTTGTGTTTTTTAAAATAGAAATTTACATGGAAAGAAAAAGAAAATAAGAAATTACAGTGAAAACAAGATTGAGAGTAAATTAAATAATAAAAATTCTACACAATGGTAAATCTATGAATTTTTCTTTTTCAACTCCACACCATTTTGCTTGGTTTCCTTTGGCTCCCTACCTAGCTTTTTATCAAACAACTCATTTCAATTGCATTTACTATTTCTACTAAATTTGTATACCACCTAAGTTTCAAGTCTCTTATAAAAAAAATTTAAAAAAAATTAAGAATCATTCCATTTCAATTTGAAAATGCAATATTAATATTTTCTCTGTTTAAGAACCAATTAATAATATTAATAATGAAGTTAATCGGACGTTTTGTATCAAGTTTACATGACATTTTATGTGAATTTGTAATATTTTAACTTGTACTTACATATAAATTTTCCTTTAAATGTATTATATTTGATGAAAAGGGGACTGTATTTCCTAAATTTTTATAAGGGTTGAGCGAAAATTCGAGTGAACATTAGGCGTTTCATCACAAAAGTAATAAAATTGCACGTTTAACCAAAAATTTTGCTATATATATAGATATAAGAGAAAACAGAAGGGAAAATTTGGTTTTGGAGAGGTAAACGAGCGAACAACAATGGAGGGTAGGCGAGTGAGAAGGTTCAGTATGGGAAGAGCAAGAGGACAACACCCACAAACTCAGACCCATCACAGTCTTCTACCCATTCACTCCCATTCAAACCCATCATCTCCTCCTGGTCTTTCAACCACCATCTCTTGTTGCTACTGCGATTTCAAGTTCTGGGCTTTCAACCAACCCCTCTTCCATTTCGGGAGAGGCCACTCCCAAATTCTCAGGGCATGGTTCTCCATTGGGGTCGGCTTTGGCCTAACCCTGCTCTTCTCCATTTCTCTCATCCTCATCTGGGAACTCGGCAGAGCTCTCAATCTCTTCCATGGAAGCTTCTTCATTAACTTGTTCTCTAGATTTTTCTCCTCCTTCAGCACCTCAATCGCCGACGTTGCCTGTATCTTCATTGCCACAATGGTTTCAGTTTCTGTTCATGAACTGGGTCATGCTCTCGCTGCTGCAAGGTCTCTCCTTTTTGCTTCTTTCTTACCCTTTATGCATTAGCTACTTGCGTTTTTGTTTTTGATTATTGTGAAGCGAAACGTAGGCTTGATTGAAAGCAGTGAGTGCGTGCAAATGGAGTATGTTGCCGTGTTGTTGCGTTTCTGTTTCCTGGTGCTCTGGTAGCTTCGATTCTGAGTCTCTGCAACCATTGTCTTGTTTGCTGCCCTTCGGATTTATTGTGCTGGAATTTGGCACAATGCAGTGGTAAGCTTACGTGTGTTTTCGTTATTTATGTATTGATGGGGTTAACGTATTTGCAAAAGCTAATGCTAATTAGCCTTCGAATTTCATTCACCTCCAGTGCTGTGCAGTTTGTGGGCTGGCATTACTTCTCCTGCCCTTCATCTTGTTTCCATTCTACATACATGGTGAAAGTCCCATGGTAATTCACTCACCACAAACATTGAATTGTCTCATTGTTTTCTGTATTTGACTTGCCAGTATCAGTATGGTCAAATGAACAATATTTTGATCACCGTTTTTATTTTGATATGTTATGTTTGTCTGGAAATAGGTTCTGGGTGTACCATCTACGTCGCCTTTGTCCAGTTACTTGTCTCCTGGCGATGTAATTGTGTCAGTTGATGGTGTGCCCATCCATAATGTCCAGGAATGGATGGAGATGACAGCTCTGATAAATGAATTGGCACTTAGAGGTAGAAACCATTCCCTAGATGTCCCAGGCTTTGGAATCAATAGAATAAAGGGGTACTGTGTGCCTAATTCTATGATGGAGGAAAGTAAGCAGATTGTTATAGGAGATAACCAGTCTTCTTGTCCTGATGATCTTACTGCATTTACACCTCTTCCCTGTGATGATACAAGCATATTAGATCATAATCATCCAAGCAGAATTGAGAAAACCCACTGCTTGAATGCAAAGAATGTTGTCAAGCTTAATAAATGTGGTGAAGGATGGGCGGCAATAACCAATGGCAGCAACTGCATATGTTCACAGGTTGGTATCTGGATGTTTGTAAGAAATGCAATTTTAGAAATTTACTTGTTTCACTGCAAATAAATACAAGTTTGTTAATGTCTACAGGAGGAGTCCTGCTTAAGTCCAGTTCAAATTCCAGGCTTAATATGGGTTGAGATCACCTATTCAAGGCCCTATTCTCTGGAATGCTTGCGAGTTAGAAGAAAATCTTTTGTGGGTCCAAGAATTTCTGATTCCATGGAGTCTAACTGTGGTGGGACTTTTGTCTTTGTTGGTGATGTTGTCTCCATGGCACGATCAGTTAAGTTAACTGCATATCAACCTCGCTGGGCATTTCCATTGGGTACATATCTTCCAAATGTACTAGAAAGGATTTTGATATGCACATTCCAAGTCTCTCTAACACTAGCTCTTCTCAACAGCTTGCCGGTAAGTTTTTTATTTATTAATCTTAATTTCTACCATTGTCTTAATAAGGTTTTAAGATTTGTCAAGCCTAAGTGATCAGTGCCCTGCATGTTGGCCAATGGATATAAAAATTGCATGTCCATGCGTGCATATGGTATGACCTGCAGAGAGATTATTTGAGGAAGGTTTTGTAAGGCCTCAGAACCAGTCAGTTGTCAATGGACTGGCTAAAGTTAGTCATAGATTTGAGATCAAAATCCATTCAGGATGAGTTGTGCTAAGCCTGACCCAATGTATGAGCCTGAAAGGGGTGTCTTTTTTATCGTTTTAGTTCTGTACTTCAACTAAGGGTTATCTCCTAAGTTGATCATCAAAGTGCTGCTATTCAGCCCAACGGTCTTCAGATATAATGAGAGTACATGCTCGCCCAAACTCAGTCTGGAGGCTGTAGTTCAAAATTGCAATCATGCAACTCTGAACTTTTGGCCTGATGTCTTTCTTTGTGGGCTTAGCAGGGCTAAGCCAGTTGAAGACTAAAGATTAGTTCTGCTGGCCCCTTGATAAGGTGTGAGATGCTTTAGTATGCCTGTCATGTTCATTCAGCACGGTCCCTTTAAGTATGTGCAACTCAGGAGTGAATTAATGTTGAGATAGAGTCTATTCAACTAACACCATTTATACTGTGCCTGATCAGCAGATAAAGAATGATAAGATTCATGCAATTCTTTTTGCTCAAATGATATTAATTAGGTGTACTTTCTGGATGGAGAATCAATTTTAGAGGCGACTCTTTCCCACTTCGCTTTGCTGTGCCCAAGGAAGAGAAGGAAAGTTCTTCAAGTTTGCCTTTTATGGGGGACACTCATTTCCATCCTCGCCTTCTTCAGGATCATGTTATATACTTTGTAAGCGAAAGGTAAACAGAGTTATTTTTAGATTTTTTTAATTGAAAATATGACATTAGCTTTACTTTTGCTCGTTTTATATCATATAATGCTGCTTCAAGATATTTATTGTAAAATTTGATAGAAATACATAGTTTACAAGTAGAAGTTTACAAATTTATGCTCTTTCATCTGAGGCTCCTCGGGAAACAAATGTTAGATTCTTTCAAGGACTTTTCTAATGGATGCTGCAGTGGGCTCGCAATTCTGATTGGGTCAGTGTCATATGTCATATGCATTCTTGTGCTAACGCATTTTTGTGGGGACTTGCACTAAGTATACTTCAGCTTTGAATGTAATGTTAGCATCAACTTCTCCTGGTTCTTAGTAGGTTTACAATCAATACATGTCAGGAAGGCCACCCTTGTATGAACATTGGGCTACATTGTGTCTTCCGTTTCTCACTTTTATTTATCTTTCTTATGCAGTGACCTTTGCTCCTAGACAAAGCAGCCTCACTACGAAGCTCACTGTTTAGCAGGTATTGTGCATTATTGTTGTACAATGTAAAACACTTTTTATCCGACATCACTCGCTCTTTAGAGTCATTAGCTAGAAAGCAGTGGTATTACAGCTGAGCTTCGGAATATGAGAAGCAGTGTTATCGAAGCTGACCTTGCAGTATGAATAGGGAGGAGCGTCAAACCATCAGCTGCCTCAGTATTCCACTACCAGAAACTATAGTTACATAACCTAAGTTTAACCTTGTTGACATAGAAATCCATAAATTATCTAGTGTAAAAGATAGGGGTACTCAGAGAATTTAACTTGTTTAACCTCCTTGTGGGTTCCTCCATAGAATGAGAAATTCTTGTACTGTTTCCATTTTATCTGGGAACAACCCAGTTTATAGCTTACGTTCAATATGCGATCACAGATTTTGTAAAAAAGTATTAGTTACTAGACTGAACTTGAACAAATCTGTTTGCTACTGTCTTCCTCCACATTCTGGTTTCAATTTCAATCCCCTGACGCACAAACCTCAAATTGGCTGGAAAGCCCATCTTTATTCCATGCATGGCTTCTGTTTCTGTTTCATCAAGGGCCTTCTAAAGGGTTGGATTGGGCCATTTCTGAAATGATTTGAGCTTTTGATGACAAGTGGGATGTGCTCAAACAGATTTCTTGATTTGGGCAAGTATTTTCTTTTAAAACTTTTTTCTTATATTTCTTTTTGTATGATTTTTTGTAGCATGCATGGGTTAGGTAGGAAGATTTCAATATTGTACATTCAAGACCATCATATTGCTTCATATGTCATGATGTTATTCATCAAAACAGAAAAAAGTAGGAGAAAATATTAGACCTCTAATCAATTCCCTTTTGGGAAAAATAAAATATGAAGGCCCAAAACCAATCCCACATACTGGTATTTGGTTTCAGCCCTCCAATCCATATGCAAGCACAGTACAGGAAGGTGCTGGGAAAAGAGGTAAAAGTATGCACCAGTACATGGTGGAAGAAGTATTTTGGGAGATACAAAAAAAGTTGTCAAATATTTAAAATATTTCATAAAAAGATGTAGAGATTGTAGGGCCCTCTGAGGCATATGTGTTTGTTGTTGCTAGCCTCAAACTTGGAAACAATCAAAAGTAGAAATGGTCAAAAACCCCACAAGAGCATGAAGCAGCAGCAGTAGGCCACCAATCTGGGCTGGAAGACGCAGCATCACACCACTTTCCTTGCACTTCAATCTTCAACTAAAATATAAAATAATAAATGTAGAAAAACAGGGATTAAAATAAACAAACCAAACACAAAACAACATCTGGATTCCTTGTAAGGGTGCTGCGTGCTTTTACCCTATTGGACTCCTTTCGTCTCATGCCATTTTTCTTCTCTGCAAAAAAATATATTTATAAGTTTCTTTTGCTCTCTTCATACGGCCTAAGACTCTATCTACTTGCCCACTTGAGCATTTTGGGGTCACCATCAACTCGATTAACATAGGCATGCATTCTGGATAAGGCTTTTTCATTTGCTGCACTCATCTGTCCCTCATTACATGTGAAGGGTTTTCAAAAGGCTTCCTTCCCCCCATCATTTTAGACATTGAAAAATCACCTAATCTTAACTGCCAACTTTATGGTTTTTGTAATTACTTTACTGGTTTTTCATTTCTTTTCTTTTCTTTAAGTCTTTTTTATGCATATATTTCATGCACCCAACAGAAGCCAGATGGAATCCGAGGGCCTACTGTTTGGTAACAAATGGTAATTGCTGTGTGGTCCAGTTAATCATGTAGACCTCCCCTTGAGGTTAATTAATTCACTCACTTTTACTTATTTTATAAATTACAACGTGGCGGTTTACGCAATATATACTATGTTAATTAAATACGTAACTTGAAAGTTAATTTATAGAAGGAAATATTCATTTTTCTTGTGAGACAATCAAACATGTTAGTGTTGTCAAACTATCAACTTCATAACCTTATTCAACAACGTGTAAATTGAACAAAGAAGTTAATAATCTGATAATTCTAAAACGTTTTAAGTTATTGAGTTGTTTCATCAAATCGTGAATCACAATGAAAACACGGGCTAACAATGTATATCAAACTTGATTACAAATAAATGATGATTGAGGCATTAATTACGGGTTTACAAGATGGACAAATCAAAAGCATCCTTAAATATATATATAAAAAATTGCATGTCCGGACTCAGTTGGCGGGAAGGGTTTGCGTTTGCTTTTATCATGACATGGTTTGGCTCTTTATTAACTTCCATAACTACCGTAACTTTCCCATCACCCATCACATGCACTGCCTTTATTTGGACTCTTGAGATTTGACCCTTCTCTCTCAAATGTCTCTCACAAGCCCTACCCACGACACAATCAACGAAATAAATATGTTGGAAACATCTTAGGTAAGGTGGAGCAGAGGCCCAAATCTCTAATTTCAAAAATTATTCTATATATATATATAAAAGTCATTATCGGTTTAGGTGCTTACCTCTATTTTACCTAATCGCTTTTTTTTTGGGATAAATATCATGAGGTGTCCCCACATTCAAAGGGAGGGATTAATTCTCGTTCAGGGTTCAGTTTGCTCCTGATCACAAAGTGCTTCAAACAATAGAGACATCATGTAGCTCGCCAACTGGAGATGATAGTTTGAAAACAACACCACACATTGTGGTTATCTAATCACATTTTTTTTAATGTGTTTTCACTGCTTAATTTATTCAATAAAGTACTGAATTAAAAATAAATAAATCTTCAATGAGGATCTTGCTCACCTGAACGCCAAAAATAGGCGCCGTTGAGCGTCTATTATCTCTCAACCATTGATTTGAAGTGGTTCGATTTAATCCAACAACTTCTAGAGACAACTCCATATGAAATTATTTATAAATTCGCTTGTCCATCCTTATAATTTGAGGGAATCTCAATCTCTCCCACAAATATATGCACGGAGGTTATAATATCAGTATCCATGAAATGACCAGTTCTTTTTTTTTTTTCTTTTTTTCCGTCTGAGAAATGACTAGTATTATTTAATCAAAGGTTTTGGTGAATCATTGCCACGTACGTTGTCGGCATATTACCCATTTGACTAGGCAGAAGATTGGACACTCACATGGCCCTTCAGAGGGAGCTGAAAATACACCCCCATCACCATCATTCATCACCTGCCTTTTGGAACAGTTCTATGACTCTCTCTCTCTCTCTCTCTCTCTCTCTCTCATGTGTTCCTCCATGTTAATAAATAAATAACAAGAATCATATCCTTTATTTTGGTTTCAAAATCACAATTAAAAGTAGGGTTCCAGGATTCTCCCCAACTACTCAATTGATTTGAAAATGGGGAGGGCATGTATCATTCTTGGTCTTCATCATCATTTTCCACTTCCCCCTCTACGTACTTTTGCTTCTTAAATTCCCTATTATCCATCATAACATGGACCAGACAAGCCATAGTACTACTCACTCCACAACAATTTCATATACATACATTTATATATCATATAAAAGCCTTCTTTATCTCACCGTTTGACGTATGTATTTAATGTTCTTATTTCGACACGTAACGTCAGATTAAGAGACAAACAGTATAACATATCAGATATTTTGGTACATATATACATTCTTTTGATTACCTTGAATTATGTGGTACTTAAAGAAACATCAATTTAATTTCCCTAATTAATTAAGATTATCTAACAAGCGCCTTCCAACTTGACAATTATAGTAAAAAGAAACTCTGCTCGGAAACAAGTTGTCTGCCATCACGTGAACTTATACAATACATATATCACAAGAAAAGAAACTAACTCATGTGAGCTTTTTCTGTCAAGAACAATGTTTCTCACATAACAAACAAAAAATAAGATATACAATTTGCATACAATCTAAGATTTACATATAATCATTGAATTATTATTCAATCGACATTAACAAACGCAACAGATGTATTTTTGTGCAACCTTTACCTAAATGCGTCGTTGAAAGAACCGTGAACTCTAGAAAGACCAAATTTCTAGTAGGCTCTTTCATCAGCCTAGCTCTAGCTACTCATGCTCATTTAGATTCAGTTAATTCAGTTAATTCGGACGTCCGCATCGGAGAAGAATTATATTAGTCAATATTCAGGCTCTATACGTACGGTCCCTTTTTTTTTCTTTTTTTTTCTCTGTGTGTTTTTTCCAACTTGTGTGGTGTTGGATGAAAAGTGAAAAAGGGTAGGAGCAGAGATTGATCATTCAAACTTGTGACTTCTGAGAGACTGAGGGACCAAAAAATAATCAGAAATAAGGTACATATGGGGTATCAATAGTATCACCACCACCCACATGGCTTTGCCCTACAGAAGGCATAAAATCTTCAACTGTGAGATAAGGGTTAGGTGCGGTTGTTCAAAAGTCCAATTCCTCCATGACTAAATATATAGAGATATATATATATATATATATATATCACTTTATTATACATATACAATTTACAAAGCATCTGAAAGCTTAATTAGATTATAATTGCAAACGTGGCGAGAGCGAGACTGATGATGAGACTGAATAAAGTGATTAAGGAGGGGTCAAAGCACGGCGTTGATCGTTAAGATCATGATCATTTGGTTCAAAGCACGCGCATGCAGCAGTGTACAATGATCCTTAATCTGCGTTGTTGCTGACAAAGCACCTTACCCTCTCGAAGAAACAGAGAAAGAAAAAAAAACAGATGGCTGTTTTTTATTTTAATTTGTCCGTAAATTTCAACATTATTTATATAAAAATTTGAAAAAAAATGCAAGATAATATATCCGCATGTTTTTTTAGCTTCAGTGGTCTGGTCTCTTGGAGTTGCATGTTCAACTTGTTTGATTTTAATTTCAAACCCCTTTTGGTTTTGGAGATCTTTACGTATCTAATGAGAGCCAGTATGTTCTAAATCGATCATGGCCCACAGGGGACCCGTTTGGATATTGGAAAGGGCGTGGAGCAAGAAGAAAACTATCGTTGAATTTATATATTTGCTTAATTATGATGTTTAATTTGTGTTTTTTAAGAAAACCTCGACGGTACGAGGAAAATTTTATTAAACAACCACAGATGAAATAAAGGGGATATAAAACCGAACCGTTATCATAGGCATCACAAAACAACTAATCAAACATAATATCAAGTGGTTCTTGAAACCATTCAATCCTATCACTATTACATACCGCTAAAGGCGGTGTGCAACCTCATTAGCTTAACTTAGATTAAACGTGAATTAATTTCTACTTGGACACTTGTCTTGCGTTGCTGCAGACAGCAGGATCCAAATTTTCTGGTTAATCCCCTCATGTCAATTAATGCCGATGTCTATGCTTTTATCCTGTTTTTGTCGTGTTCTCCTGTTTTTCATGATCCAAAACAAAGAGACATGTTACAAGTACGTAAATACAAGAAACATATTGATCCATCTATCCATCTTTCATTCGTTGAAGCCTTGACTAAAAGGGAATATTCTCTGTGACACAAATTATATCATGACAGTTCAAAGACTCGTAATAGGAAGGAGGACTTCTGCTTGTGAGAAATCATGGCTCCTAACTGTTAATTAACAGGAAATTTAGATGATTGAGATCGTTGGTGGAATCGACATCAAATACGTGGCTGCCTCGATCGCAATCTGAGTTCAAACTAATATTGCTCCGTAGTCAATGCTCTTTTTCTTTCTTTTTTTTTGTCTCCCTACTATTGACTTGGTCACACTATAGTTGTTGTCGTCAATAAACAAATGCTGAGTTACAAAATATCCTCAATTCAAGCATCTAAAGTGATATCGGGAAGAATCTCAAATCAAATAGACGTATTAACAGACAACAAAATAAAACGAGCTAAACTATGAGCCACTGCTTGAAACATAATCAATCGAAATATTCGATAACTGAGGAATAAAAAACAAAAGCCAACGGCAATTGTATACTTTAGTTTGGGTACAAATTGTTTGCCTATGATGGGATAAGCGAGTTATTTCATAGCCTTTGCAAGAGCATGACAATAACTAAATGGAATGTTCAACTTTAATATGTGGAGGCAGCAATATTGGAGAAAGAAATGTCCTTTTTGTTTAATTTGAGGCTATATGCATTGACAAAGTTGCAAGCGCATTGCATGCCTAACACAAATAATCATGCCGGACATTTTGGGTTTCCTCGATCCCTGAATTAAGGGCTGACTGGCTCCTTCTTCTCTGCACTGTGTCTGATTGCCCAATATCATGTGGTCATCAGGAGTTATCACCCACACACATATACAAATTAATAGCCAGGCCTGAGGCCAGGACAAATCAAAAGAAGCCGATCATGTGCTGAAGTTGACCAATCATTATATAAAGATCCTCCAGAATTAGTTTTTTGGCGTTTTCTGGGTTACAAATTAAACTCTCTCAGGTTTTATTATTATTATTTATTTATTATAATTAATCACATGATAAGAAAGATAGACTCATTATTTTATACAATATTGATAATAGGAAAATCTTTCCCTAATTGATATCTCAAATTCATGTATTACAGGTAGTCCAATATAAGTAAAAAGATGAATATGGAACGAGTTTACGACTTCAAGGCAATTTGTATATATGTGAATTTAAGGTTTAGTGATTAACAATAGTTATCTTGCACCCGAGGTGATCATGTGTTCGAATCCTCCTCTCACAATTTCGCTTATATAAAATTAAAAATAAAGAAGTTTAGTCCTTTTATATATATATATAATCTTCATGGGGAATCCTAGGACCAATTGTAATGTTTCTATCTATGGGCGCACAATTGTTTATAATGAACCAATGAAGTTATAACACGAGGTAGGTTAGAAACAAACAGGTATAATAACTAAGGTCGCAACCAGAGATGCACTATGACATTGATCGAGCCTTGAGCCAAAACCAATTACTTAATCCCACCTGTTTTGTGCCAAATTGACTGCTTGACTCTGTGGACTACTAATTGCATGGATAAAGTAGAGGATGAAGGTCCTGAGATTAGCCAACCCCGGTTAAGTGTCGGCCCCGCTGCTTCTGCTTGACCAAAATATTCCACGTCCTCTTTTCTATGCCTCTGATGTTTGATATCTTCTAGATTAAACAACACATCTAGATAAACTCATGTTATCCACTTTTGTACAAAAAAGTATTCAAATAAACTCATTTTGCATTTATAATATTAAGTAGATAGTCGTGTATGTGTCATGTGATGCGTATGCAATGTAATAATGATAAATTAATTAAATCATAATCAATTAATAAATTATAGGTCCATAACCTTGGAAAAGTCTTTTTTCGTTTAGTGCAAGTACTAACTAACGTAAGCAAACTACCTTAAGTAAAAACAGACTACTTTGTTATGGTAGAATTTAGAAAGAGAGAGAAACTTTAGTATGTAGAATTTGGATTGCAATTGTCAGTTTTTCAACTTTGAAGATATTTCAAGTTCGAATCTCTCACCTTCCCTGCATGACAACTAAAAACTAAAAAATTAAATGATTTAACATGTTACATGTTATATTGTTATATTGTCATCTTTGAAAACAGAATTTTATACATTAATAGGTTATCTGTAAAATATCTTAAAATTCGAGGTAGGCAGCTAGTTGTATTTTTATGCTTAATATAGCATATTAACATAGAATTATCACCTTCAAAAGACTACATGAAAGCAAAATACAATACGTTTGTTAACAACAAACACAATTTAATACGAGAATCGATAGCCTGGAACTGGACAACGAAAGAAAAATATCATTATTTCTGAATCTGATAACATATATCATTAAAAAATGCTGTCGGCAGCAGTTGGGATTGGTAGGGTCAAGCCGCCGTACAGAGGAACGGTCAACCGTCAAGCCCAGGCGGGACCACCTAACAAACACCAGAAGATAATAGCACGTGTCCCTAACGTGGCAACTGCCATAACCGACAATAACCGTGACCTCGTCCTCTCTGCCTCGGCTCACGTGTAGCTCTGCAGACCACGTTCAACCAGTTTTTCTTTTCAACAAGAAAATAGAAATGGAAAAAGAATTGCATCGTAATAATTTTCAGGGATTGGCCGACTTCTAAAGGAAAAAGAAAATAAAAAATATTTTATGGTTAGCAAAAAAGTGATTTAGAAAAGGTAGATGTGGACCCATTAAGAAAATTATACCTCACTTTTTCTTCTTTCCTCCCTCCATTTTTCTTTTTCATATTGTCTTTGCACCCAAACAAGGGGAAATTATGATGTATCTAAAACAGTACGTCACATACTAACGTCGTTTATTTGAGTCTATAGGAAATATTATTACACGTTACAATCATTTTTTTAATAGAAAAGTTTGTATTTTATTAAATCAAAATGAACATTACATGATAAGAACTAGCATGTTAATGACAGTCTCGTTAAAATCTTCCTAGAGAAAACAAAATCTCAGAATAGGAAAGAGTACCACCCATGGTATTGACTAAACAGAAGAGTCAAACCATTTATACGAAACAGACAAACCTAACGCCCAACCACAAAATCTTTAAAACAACATCCCATCACTACATAGGTACTGTCAAAAAAGTCCTCTTATGATCTAAAGAAAGCATCATAGTTCTTCGTATAGAGTTAAAAACGTACTATAGGTATTAGCAGAGGCGGCCCATAGAGTGTGTGACGTGTGCGACCGCACAGGGCCCTCAAAATTTAGGGGCCTCCAAATTTTTCCAAGTCAACCCATTAAATTAACTAAAACATGAAAATAAAAATGAAATATTAAATATCACCCCACAACAACACATGCAAGGCATCAAAACCAAAATTGAATTGAATATTAATTATCAACAAATTCTACGACTTAGAGAGTAGAGGCCCTAATTTAATTCATTTTCCTCTTTCCAACTCTTACGCTGCAACTCTTCTTTTTATTTATTTATTATGGTTTGAAACCTGTGTTTTCCTCTTCCCAACTCTCAAGCTACAAAACCATTCTAATATTCTTTTCTCTTTCAATAAGTCTTTCTCACTCTCCTCCATCAAAATAAAGTCATTTCTCTTTAGTACCAGTGTACCACTCTCTTCCATCAAATTTTGGATTGTAAAAACCCAAGTTTTAGCCTTTTTCCCCAAAATCACAGTTCTTTTCTCCCTCCCTTATTCACATGAGAATTCACCAAGCATTGAAAATGGAAAATCAATTTATCAGTTCAGTGATTTGGAAGTGTGACTAAAGAAATTTTTCTGGGAAGCTCTTTTCGAATGTGTTCTTCCTGTGTCAGAAATTTTTGTTTCTATATGGATTTTTTTTTCCTACTTGTATCTATAGGGCATCGACATCCATATTTGCACAGGGCCTCCAAAATCAATGGATCGACTCTGAGTATCAGAATAGATCTAGCCAATCACCCACCCGCAAAACCATTGAAACACATCCCATCATTATGCAGGTACTGTCAAAGAAAGCCTATTGTAATCTAAAGAAAGCATTATAGTTCTTCGTACATAGTCAAAAACGCATTGTGAGCATCATAATAGATCTAGCCAAACACCAACTGCCACCTCCAATTGTCTTGATCTAGGACCCCAGTTGACAGGCAAGGGAGACGAAGATTGATCTCTTAGCTTGAAGAAATTTCCAAAGAAAGATCTTCATAGTAGGAACGTTCATCGGTTGCCAAGCCCACGAACGTTCCATAGGAGAATTATTAGGGAAACCTTGGAGACCCCTCGAGGCTAGTCTCCTCCACCTTGTCAACAAAATCCTCAATACAAAAACTACGTTTACCAGAAAAAAGCCATGCCACTAATAATTAGATGCTTAACACCATTTTTTGCATGCTTTTGATTCTCACTTGGTGCCACATACTTGTCATCCCTTGAGTAGAAGAGGTAGTGGTCACCTCCATAACGTTAAGATAGAGACCCCTCACCAGCTACTGCCTCCTTGGGAACCCAGAAAGGAAGTTGGCGCAGCTACCCCGCGGAGAACAAAAGAGCCACACAAAAAAAATCGTACCCAATACACCAAGAAGAACCTAGAAAAACAATCAAAGAAGAATGAGAGAGACTATACAGAGAATGAATAAAGAAAACTGGAGAAACCCTAACCCAGTTGTCAAGGCTCTCCTCGCATGAACGAGAGAGCGACCCCACATGTTACAATCATTAAAATGCAAAGTAAAAATAAAAAAAATTAAAAGAGAGTGAAATTATAAATGATTATATGTGTATTATAATATGCTTGTACAAGTGAATTTCTTACGACTGTATACCACATGGTGTTTTGAATATACACAATTTTTCAAAGAAAGATAGAAAAACGTATTCATTACTAACACAATTTCTTTCATTAATCAAATAATCCTTTTATGACATATATGGTTTTTCTTTTTCATTCAAATAATTAGAACTTGCCATCTATAACATGCTATGCTATCACATGCACAAAATTGCAAATTCCAAAAGAGTAAAAGGGTATATAAATGTACAGGGCACTTAAGCTCTAATCACATAGTAAGTTCTTATGATGTTAATCATTTGTTCAAATAATCACATAGTAAGTTAATATGATGCTAATTACTCGTTCAGACCCACTCTATAACGTTGTCTCATAATTTTCAATGATTTATATTTTTTTAAGATATCGTTCAATTATCATCGTCTAATCAAATCAGACAAGACTGTTAATGGTGATAATTTTATTGTATAAGGAAAAAGGAAAATAAATAAATATTTTATGGTTAGTAAAAAAGTATTTTTTTAAAAAAGTGATTTAGAAATGGTGGACCCTTGAAGAAAATTATACCTCACTTTTTCTTCTTTTCTTCCTCCATTTTTCATTTTCATCTTGTCTTTGCATCCAAAGAAGGGGAAATTATGTTGTATCTAAAACACTACTCACATACTAACGTCATTTATTTGAGTCTATAGGAAATATTATTACATGTTACCATCATTAAAATGCAAAGTTTAATGAATTTTTTTATTTATAAGAAGAGTGAAATTTAATTTTAAGTTTGGTTGGATGTATTAAGGATTATACACGTATTATAATATGCATAATTTTTCTAAGCAAGAGAGAAAAACATATTCATTGCTGACACGATTTCTTTCATTGATCAAATAATCCTTTTATGACATATATGGTTTTTCTTTTTCATTCAAATAATTAGAACTTGACATCTAATCACATAGTAAGTTAATATGATGCAAATCCCTCGTTCAAACCCACTCCACAATGTTGTCTCATAATTTCAGTGGTTCATTTTTTTTAAGATATCGTTCAAGTATCATCGTCTAGTCAAATTAGACAAGATTGTTAAAGGTGATAATTTTATTGCATAAGAAATTGCGGGTAAATTCCAAAAGGTATCACAAGCAAAGACTTTGTGCTAGGTTTTGTTGAAGAAATGGAATCAATATCGCTTATCAATGCGAGAAGGACAATAGTTTGCTATTATCATGTGTGTGATTGATTGACTCCTGAAATGGGAAACATAGTTTCATGAGTAGTGACATCACGGCTTTAAAGACTACATGTTTCTCTTACATGTGCGATACATTTGTTACGTGCACCTATAAAATTTCCTTGATGCCATAGTGACAACTTATCTTGTTGATATATATACATATACATACTTAAAGTTTGTCTAAGTTCAGTTGTTGTCTAACATGCATTACGTACACCTATAAGGAGGTTTTGAGTTCGAAACTTCCAGCCCTCATTCTCCGGCTTATCATTTACCATGTTAATTTGTTTCTTCTCATACGTGATGGGGGCTGCATCTGATGAAGAATGTGTTAACTAACGTGATATACATCGACTCTTGAGAGCTTCAATTTTTTAGGTCAAACACAAGAAGCTGTAGAGTACGTATATGTGGATCGGTTTTCTAATTAATTAGGTTACCCTATTAGTGACGTAAGGGGGGAAAACTACTGTGGGTTTGTAAGTTTCTAACCACCTTCGCGCACCAACAATAACCTACTGTAACCATGTGGAAAGCTTTCACGTGTCAGCACCTGGACTGTCTGCATACACATATACAGGAAAACCACTGGGGTTTTTTCTTTTCTTTTTTGGGCCACAAGGTAACCATCTTGACTTCCTTTGCCCTAAAGTCACGGAATTTGATTATTTACATGCCTCTACGGCTCTACCTTGCTAATGGGCCACAACCCGTGCCTCAATGGTAAGCTGTGAATTCATTTTTTTACTTGGAAAAAAAGCAAGTGGATATAATAATATCCTTCACTAAAAACAAAGAAGAAAAAAAAAGGCCAAATAATTAAGGCTGCCATTGCCATTTACAAATGATCATTTGGGTCCATTGGGACACAGAGGAAATTATAAATAAAAAAATGGTTGCACGAACGGTGTGAAAATTGATCCTACTTATAAGAAATGGTCAATGCCCAAATGGTTGGTGCCAATGAGGCTCATTGATGCCTTTCCACAAACACCTTATCTGCATGCAAATTTGGCCGGCAAGGCGGGCAGATTTTGTGTTGTGCATAGGGAGGCCAACGGAAGACATTAGAGGGCGTGGTTTTAAAAGAGAGGGGTCGAGGGCGTGCCTCCCGAGAAGGAGGAGTCTGACACGTATTAATGTCAACGGTGACGTGGTGACATGTAAATATGAGGTGTTCAGTTGGTAATGGGTCCACATTATCAAATACCTGTTAACCCTACCTACCCGAAATATACATTATATATAGCTTTCAAAATTCATCCACGTTGAACTTTTATATAGTTTACATCGAAGGATAAGCTTAGTCAGCACCACGTGTACTTATTCATTATGCCATTTTCAGAGTAATGCTACCAACCTTAGGGCAAATTTGAAAGACTTCAAAACTCAACTGATATTACGGTGTTTCATTTGTAGTTATGTCGATTGATTTTGAAACGTATTTATATCTGATTACAGTTATTAGAAACTGTAATAGAAATTATTGAAGAGAGAAAAAGGTAGGGTGGTTGTGAGAGAGGAGGGAAAA